CATAATTGCCACACAAACCCTTTGTAATTTATGGCTTACTTATGGCCTTAGGATGCATAATCTATGCTGGAATGCCTGCATGGTTTGTAACAAGCTCAGGTCTATCCATTACCTTTTTATTTCTAATTCTCTTAACCTACTTGGAGTTATGGAAACCTTGCTTCAGGGAATCTGACTGCCTCGCCAGCTGTCCTCTCCCATTGTGGCCTCTACTGGACTCCATCACCTAGACCCTACACCTCCCTCTCTATCCCTCCCCTCCTTTGAAGCTCATTGTATTCATCTTCCTTCCCCAGTTGCTTTTAGAGTTCTGTAATTTAATGGCCTCCTGCATCCGTATTTTTCCTTGACGCATTCTCTGTGTGCACTCGTTTCCCTCACTACACACAGAAATAAGCCCTAACTGCAAACAGATGTCAGCAGAAAGCTCAAACGAACTAGTCGTGATCTTGAGCAAGTGTGGGGGTAAAACTAGGTACCTGCAAGATTTCCCTTCGTATAAAGCTTCTAAAAAAAAAAAAAAACTCATTCCTGCCTTTATGCTGACAAACCGACCCATGTCATCACACTCAATAACACCCTTTCATCCAGTCCTCATCAACTCTTTTCTAACTCTAACTCTCCACTTCAACCCCCACTGCCAATGTCCACCAGCTAATTCATTGTCCAGGACATTGTCAGCCATTTCAAAAAGAAATTTTGAAACAAGTTCACCACTGTGCAGTCATCTCCGCCAATTAACAGTCTACCTCTACCACCACATTCAACCCTGACACTGCCAGAGGTCATTCCTACACCGTTCTGACGCCAACTATACTACCTGCCTCCTGGACCCTACTCCCAACAAAACTACTCCAGTCACCCTCTGGCTCTGTTCTATGCTATCTTACGCCCATCTTCAACCTCTCCCATTCTACTGGCATCCTCCCCTCCCGTCTAAAACATGCACTGGTCACCCCCAAACTTAAAACGCCCTCACTAGACCCCACCAGTCTGAACAAACTAAGACCCATCTTCTTACTTCTAATTTACCTCTAGAATCTGAGAATCCCTAGTCTACAAATGTAGCAGCTGTTCCCACGCCAATATCAACCTTATGGACCCCTTACAATCTGGATTTCGACCACAGCACAGAAACAGCCCTTCTAAAACTCACTAAGGACTTACTAACTGCTGAATCTAATGTCCAGTACTCAATACTCCAACTAGAAGACCTCTCTGCTGCCTTCAACACAGTTGACCCCTTTCTGCGCCTCAAAAAAACAAACCAAAACAACACAAAAAAAACAAACTACCTTGGCCTCTAAACCCCAGTTCTCCTCCTACCTAAGCACTCCTTCAGCGTCATCTACAACTACTCCCTCCTCTTCCCATAATACTGCTGCCAGAATCATCCACTTCACCAACTGTTTTTTTATTTTTATTTGCATCCATTTCATATTTGTAGTTCAATTTTAATCTATGTTGCCTGCTGCTCCCTACTGGTAGTACAATCTGTCAGGTACCGCTGGGTGTGCCTTGTCCAATTAGTATGTTTGCTGCTCCCCCTCAGCCTATTAAATGGATGAAATCCCCAGTAGTTTGTTGGCTTGAGAAAAGGGACCTCACTCTGAAACACGTAGCCACGCCCTCCTTTATGTTTAACATCACAGCTGCAGGTTGCTTCACTGAAATCTTTTTGGCTACCTTTTGTGCCTATAAACTCTATCCATGCTGGCTCGTCCTGGTTCCTGTCTCCCCATGCTGTTTCCTATGTCATCTGGCAACTAGAGAAACTCGTACTAGCATTCCACACCAAAGTGCTGCTGTCTTTTGGGATCTTGGACCTTGCCACCTGCTGGTACAAACTTATTACTGCAGTCTTTTTTTGATACATATGCGAGTGCATTACCATCTCCTTTTTATACAAGGTGAGTTAATTGCTACACCAAGAGTAGTGTGCTCTCTTTGCTTTCTCCATTCATGCTTATTGGTAAACCTGGGAGAGACCCTTCACAGAATATTTTGTTGAATTTACCTACCAGAAAGATTCCCCCCTCTTGGTCAACCTGTAGAGCAGTGTTTCTCAACCTTTTTTCAGTCAATGCACACTTTAAAATTATGAATAATCTCAAGGCACCCCATTCTAAAATATAAAAAACTATTCTACACACATCCAGGACACCCAGCGTTAGAGGTGATTTATTCTTCTAAAGCATATATACCTTTGCACACTGGTACTGACTGGTATTCCAGTGTGTCTCTCTCCTGTCCCTCACTCTGCTAATGTGACTCCAATGCTGATGGAGAGGGGTAGACAAGGATGATGTGCATGCACCCCACGTCCTCCTTATCAACTGATGATGCCATTGGTTGTTAGGATGTAGGCAGCTAGAAGGTCGTAATGGTGCACAATGAAAACCTGTGGCTTTGTGTACTAAAAGGCAGGATTGATCCACCTGCTGGCTTGTATACAATTTTTAGGCATTTTGCCAAGGCACCCCTGAAGAAACCTGAAGGTGCACCAAGGTGCCTGGTCACCCTGATTGAGAAAGGCTGCTGTAGAGTACTTATCGAAATGTGGTATTCAATTATTTGTGAGTGCATTGCCTTATGGTTTAAATTTTTTCATGATATTCAATAATATTACAATTAGACAGTGGAGCTTTCTCTCCTGCGTTTTTTCTCTTTTATTTATAAGGGATTGTAGCAATGTTCTCAGATCCCATTTGGAAGAGAGATTGTGGACGTTGAAAAAAGTGTAAATCCCTTATGAACGTCCATAAACTCATATAGACTTTGAATACTCCACTTGGACATCAGAGGAGGTTTTTTTGTTGTCTTTTTATGTGTGTGTTTTTATTGTGAACACCCACTCTTGACCTTCTAATCCAGGGTACTGTTTGTCTTTGTGCCAGGTTATCCTACTACATCCCTTCGCAGGGTTATACTTGGTCTATTATCATACTACAATTAGAAGACAGGGAGGGTTCAGTGAGGTAACAGACAATTAAGCTGAGGATATAAATATAGACAGGGGTTAGACAAAAAATGGAAACACTACATGATTTGCAGGTGTGAAAGTGACGATGTTTTGCATTGAAAGCGGAAGTGATGTCACATTCTTTTGCTTCCGCTGTGTGATGAGACACCTAGCTAATAGGTGGGAAGCCTCACTAGTGTCATTCACTGCGTACTCTGTTAGTAATACGGAGTCATATCAGAGCTTACCGAGCTTCAAAGAGGTCAAATTGGTGGTGCCCACTTATCTGGTGCCTCTGTGACTGAAGTTACATTTATTTGCTGTGGTGCGAGGTACAGTATTAAAGGTTATGACGGCATATATAGTTTTCTGGGAACACGTCGTCTGAGAAGCATAAGCGTGGTTGACATGGTCAACTGACCAAAAGAGATAAAAGTACATTGCGCAGAATTGTGACCCAGAATAAGAAAAAACAACTGCTGCAAAAGTGACTGCAGAGCTCAACCTCAGTCTTCATGGCATGGGAGAAGTTTATTTCTGTGAATGTATATGCATAGAAGTGTGTTGTTTAGACACATGTGGAGGCACATACATAATTGTATGGTAGATATTTATATGGTCACTTTTAGGTATATTTAGGTAACTATTTTGTGAAGAGTATGGGGACTGTTAGTGAGCAGGAAAGCATCTGGAATTGCACTTGAAATGTATTTGCAGAATGGAAAAGGATTAATTATGGTCTATGTGGTTCTTACTTATATGACCGGATATCACGTATGACCATGTTACCCTAAAATAAGCAATAAGTGTTCCTAGCCTGAGGAAGAACATGATCTGAAAGCTTGCTTATGGAACGCTTCTGATGTAAGAGATGAAGATTTCTGGGATATGGAAAAGATAAAAAAAAAAAAGTAGTGTAGCGTTGTAGCCTTGGACTATTTTCTCTATGTACCTTTATTTTAAGTAATGACATAAATATTGCATAACCTTATTGGAGAAGTATAGAAGTATAAAAATTGAGCCATAAGACCCTTATTCCCTTCTAAAATATCTGCCCCTGTCAACATTTCCAAACATACACCATAAAGGAAATGCTAGGAAACCATGTTAGTGATAATAGTTTTTAAGAGTTGTTTTTGTCTACTCACAGAACTGACAAAGGATTTCAGCAAGTATTTACAGAGAAGGCACAAGGAAACGGACCTTGAAAACATCTTCACATCTGGTGTTCCCTGTATATAGAAGAAAACAGTTTCAGCAAGAAATGACTACTTACAGAAGTACAGTAAAAGCAGACTCTCTAGTCATAATTAAAGCAGAACTCCAGGCAAATATTTAAAAATGCAATACCATTATGTGTTCAATAAAATCATGACTCCATATTTTTTTTAAGTCAGTTTAACCAAAAAAAAAAATTTTTTTTAAATAAAAATTGTTTTCTAAAAATCCTTCTGAAAAGAAACAATCCTAAATGGCAATAGATCGACTGAAATTCATCCGTTTCAGCAGGGGCTGGCCAAATTTTGATCCATCTATGGCTGCTCCTGCTCAACAGAAGTCGATTTAACGATCAAACGTCTTTCAAACCGGATTGTTGGAAATTTGTTTCTCAACCAGTAGCTGCAGGTGCTGACCAGTGTATTCCTGCAGTAGAAAGTCCCCAGTTTCACTTTAAAATTAGATTTCTTTGATGTAACAAGAAATAAAATAAATAAATATATGTCTAAAGATTATTTATCAATGTTATAAAGACATATATACAACCCAAATTACAAACAAAGTTGGGATACTGTGTAAATTCTACATAAAAACCAGAATGCGATGATTTGCAAATCTCCTAAACCCATTTTTAATTTAAAATAGAAAACATATTAAAATGTTTAACCACTAGCCTACTGGGCACTTATACCCCCCTTCCTGCCAAGGCCAATTTTCAGCTTTCAGCGCTGTCGCACTTTGAATGACAATTGCAAGGTCATGCAACACTGTACCCATATGAAATTTTTTTCATTTTTTGGAGACAGATAGAGCTTTCTTTTTGTGGTATTTAATCACCTCTGGGTTTTTTATTTTTTGCTTATAAACCAAAAACTGATTGGACACAGCTGATCACATGACCGAGCCGAAATCTTCGGCTCTTTCCGTGGATCGGTGATCCACTGTGTCCGAGGGACACAACGCACTGCCGATCGCCTGCGCGGTTAGAATGGATGTCATATGACATCATCCCAGAACGAGAGAACCGCCTTGCGCCCGTCATTGCTTTATATGGCTGTCGGGAGGCGGTTAAAGTGAAAAAATGTAACATTTTAGGAAGACAATAATAAGGCAATTTTAAAATTGATGGCAGCAACAGGTCTCAAAAAAGTTGGAACAGGACAACAAAAAGCTGGAAAAGTAAGTGGTACTAAGAGCTAGAAGAACATTTTGCAACAGGTCAGTAACATAATTGGGTATAAAAAAAACATCCTAGAGAGTTAGAGTGTCTCGGAAGTAAACATGGTCAGAGGTTCACCAATGTAGGAAAAGCTGCATCCAAAAATTGCAGACCAATTTCAGAATAATGTTCCTCAAAGTAAGGTTGCAAAGTCTTTAAATATATTATCATCTGTAGTAAATAATATCAAAAGATTCCGAAAATCTGGAGAAATCTGTGTGCGCAAGGGACAAAGCCATAATTATTGGATGCCTGTAATCTTCAGGCCCTCAGACAGCACTGCATTAAAAACATACATGATTATGAGATGGATATCACTGCATGGGCTCAGGAATACTTCCAAAAATCACTGCCTGTGAACAACGCTCACTGTGCCATCCAAAAATGTTAAAGCTCTAGTATGCAAAGAAGCCATATCTGAACAAGATCCAGATACACCGCCTATATTTTTTATTTAATCCTCAGTCTATAAAAGAAAAAAATGAATGAATGGAAGCCATTTAACCTCACCTCAAACAAACAGCTCTATGAGGCCAAGGGGAGAGTACTATAAAAAAGCGGACTGTCACACTTTAACATAAAGAGCTTGTAGGCTTCCAAAACACACAGAACCTGAAAAAGTGGACAAACCAACACTGTCCCAGGTCTCTAGTAAACAAAAGTTTAGAAAGAACTCAAAAGTTGTTGAGAAAAAGGTTTCTAAACTTGTAGTAGACTTCCCAAGCTGTCCTGTCTAAAAAAAAACAAAACAAAAAACAAACAAAAAAAAAACCCCAAACCCTAAAGCCAGTCATAGTTCCTGCTGAATTTCCATCCATCAATTGGTAGGCTGGTTGTACTAAAGTCATCAATCTATCATTTGACTTCAGTATAACCAGCCTTTCAGGTTTTTTTGTATGATCACTGCTGGCTATAGCTATCAGCAGTAATCATTGTATTCTGACAGCGGGGAAACCTCCCACTGTCAGACTATAATAGTGCAGTGGGAGGGAATGACCATGTTGATGGGGAATCGAGCAATTGTCTTTCCTTCAACCCCGTTGAAGGAAAGAAAATTGCATAATCTATGGGCAGCCTAACTCTTATCAATAAGTTTCCATCATCCGGATAACAGGCACTATACACTATTGATACACCACGTATTTGGAACACATAAAAATGGAATGCTCCATTCAGTTGTTCAAATTGAACGGTCTGAAAAGTAAGATGTAACGAATACACCAAATGTTAAAAAACCCCAATGTGAACATGTCCCACAAAATAATATGATCTGACCATGAAATAATGATTTGCCAATATGTAGCACAAAAGAGTGTGCAGTAGTGTGTCAAGAGAATGATAAAACAAGACAGTCAAGATCGAGCTTTAAAAGTGCATGTTTTGAAATGTTTTGAGTGCAATTTTTAATTCAAAGTAGTATTCCACTTGAATGCCAACTATCCCTAAAACCTGCTCCTACCCACATTCCAAGCCTATTCTACCTACCCTGTAAAGGAAATAGGTCTTTACTTACCTAGTCTGAAGACACTCTGGTTTGGTCACATCTTCTCTTCAGCGGCTGACTTCAGTGAAGAGGAAGGATTGCCAACAACAGCTATGACATCACTCATGTATTTACTGTGGGGCATCCATTGTCGGCTGTCCCTCCTCTACATTGAAGCTGATGTTGGGAACCGATCATGTAACCGGACCAGAGCATCCTCAGCACAGGTAAGTATAGACATCTTTCCTTTCACAGGGTAGTTTAGAATGGGGGTGGGAGTAGATTAAGATACAGCTAGGATTTCAGGGTTATTTTCCTGGAAATAAATTTAAGGTGGGTTGTATTAATTAAACAAGTACAGCGAGAATATAAATATAACATTAATAGCAATTATTTCTACACTGTAAACATGGATTGTATAGAGTGTTGCAACATTGTATATCAAATAATAAAAGATTGTTTCAAAAACTGTGCCATTTCTAAACCTTCCACTATGCTCCTAATACACTATATGCACAGCGACAGAATAGTTTATTTGAAATGCAGCATGCCAACCAGATACAACATTCAACAGTTTGCATTCCTACACAATAGTCAATAATAATTTATTGGGCCCAATATCTTTACCTACTCAATCTTAGGTTGGATTTTAATATAACATCCCACCAAGAAAGCAATGATTTCTATAAAACATTGTAAACGTTCCAGCAAAACAATTTAGAAAAATGCAACAGTCTTCTAACCTTTAAAAATATGAGAGGACGATGGCGTCCAACATTTGGAAGAACACCATTTGTACTAAATTTGATTTAGACGTTAACAAAAAGGTGGCAAACTGAAGTGACAGTTCTGAAAAATTTAAAGCAGAGCTTTATCCATAACAACTTGATAAAAAATAATGTTCTTTAGCAAGGAACATACATTCCATAATAATTATGCTAACAAAATTGATGTGTGCTGTACACTGCCTCCAGCATTGATATTGTTCCTTCTTACTGGAGGCTGCCATTTTGCTGAAGCCCAGAGCCCCTGAGCAGCAGTTAATCTTCAGGTGTCAGCAGATCGTCCTCTACATTTTTGGCACAGTGGCAAAAAAAATAGCGCAACTGAGCATGTGCAGAAGGTAAGATAGTGTATTACTGGATTTTAAACACTATAGGCACTTGCAGTATTTTTAAAGTTTTACATAGCTATACCTGCAAAAGTCGCCAACATGAAGCGATCTAGCAGGGCTTATTATTCTGACTAAAGTTCCACTTTAATATGCTACCAGACAAACTCTGTTAAAAATGTCCTCCTCTGTACCATCTTCATATATCTATGGTGATATAACCTACATGATCAGAAAATAAACGTGAAGGAAATATAAGAGGATGGCATTGACAAAGTACAAACCATACAGACCTCCATGAGATAGCAGTACAGGAACGGGCCCTGGGACAGGATGAGGTTAGTACAGATACAGCTTGCCACAGTCTGCTGAATGGCACGTAAGAGCTTCTTGGAGAGCTCCAAGCCAGTGTGTAATTTGTCCAAGTTGCTCCTAGAAAGAATTAACCAAAAACGTTTTGTCAAAAAAAAAAATAAACAGCATTGTCAAGTTAGAGAAACCGTATCAACCTGTTTACTACACACAAAATTTGAAAATATCAACATTCCCCTTCACTAGAAAAGCAACAAACTGGCAAAATATTTTCAAGTACCTGGACAAGCTATCCAAAGCCTTAATAAAGTTATCAGTCCCACTCTCATCTTTCTCTGTGTTCTCCAATAGTGAAATTACAGCAAACACAACATCACTGGCCAGGAATTTATTCTTAAACCCAAACTGCACGCTGAAGGTCTGCACTCTGATGTCTTTCATTCTGTCAGAGGAAGAAAATAATACATTTATAGCTTAAATAAAACATTTACTAATGTAAGCATGACAAATGTGGCATGGAGAAAATGCTGGGTAAAAAAAAAAAAAAAAAAAAAAAAAAGTACAAGGGAAAAAAAACAAAAAAAAAAACACATTCTGGCTAAAAAGTGGGATTTTTTTTTTTTTTTATTCTATATTGCTTTAGCAGCACATGGCACAACAACTAATCTCTATCTCACAAACACACGCATTGTTTTTATATATACACACACGGCAAAATAATTATTGAACACGTCACCATTTTTCTCAGTAAATACATTTCTAAAAGGTGCTACTGACATGAAAAAAAAAATAAAAAAATGCACATATTTTTGCAGGAAAAAATCCAAGTTAGACTTGTTTTCTAGTAGTCTTTCAGAACAGCACGTGAGAGAACGCAGCTCCTCCTCCTCACACAGCAAACACATCCACATCAGTCTTTAAATTGGAGGCCTCTCCCAACAGTGCTCAGTTGTCGAAGAGTAACTTCGACCCATCTGAAAAACAAACACAACAGCATAAACAATATCAAGGCGGTAATTATTGCTGTCCTGAAAGACTACTAGAAAGCAAGTTACCGGTAAGTCTAACTCGGATTTTCTCAAAACGTCTTTCAGGACAGCAAATGAGGATAAACGAGAATTTACCCCCTTAAGGCAGGGCCACAGCTTGCAAAACGTTCCTACTGAAGGCCTACTCCCCAGCTGATAATAAATCCAGTCTGTAGTGTCGCACAAATTTGTTCCGGGGTGGCACTGGCCTTCTCTGCCCATGTAGCTGCCAGAGCTCTTGTGGAATGAGCGTGAATGCCCATCAATGGCACAAGATCAGAAAAGATCAGACAAGCTGATTCGACTGCCATCCAGCAATGGATCCTTTAGTGGCTTTCTGCCCTTTTTTAGTCCCATCAAACAAAATAAAAAAAAGATTCTGAACTCAGAATTCCAAATAATGTAAAACGATTCTTCTCACATCTAAAGAATGAAAATTTATTTCCTTGTTTCTGAATTGGTTAGGACAAAAAGTTGGGGAAAAAAAAAAATGTCTCGAGAGCGATGATAAACCGACGCTACCTTTGAGAGAAAGGCTGGATTGGTTTTCATGACGAATCTGCCTGGATAAAACATCAGAAAGGGTTCTCTGACTAACAACGAATGTAGATCACCAATTCTGCGTTCGGAAAAGGCTCTAGCTTTAAATTGGTCTGGATCAGGATAAAGCTTTGAAAAACCTGATGACTAGGGGTTCAGAAGAGATAAAGCTCTATAGAAAGACCCCTAAAGCTGCAACTTGGACCTTCAATGTGCTGATCGCTAACTTCTTATCGGCCCTTTGCTGAGGAAACTCCAGGATTGAGATCTTCCAAGGGCATTGAATTGGCCAGGCACCAGGAATTATATATCTTCCAATCTTTGTCATAAATAGCTCTTGTGACCGCCTTACAACCTGCTAGGAGACCTTACAACCTCTTTTCTAGCAGTTGCTTTTCAGAAACCACTCAGAGGCATAAATTGTACACTTTTAGATGACAGAGGACCCTGTAGCAACAGATCCCTCCTCAGTGGAAGCATGCGATATGGTTTGACCGTTAACCAGAGGAGTGTTACAAACCACGTTTTTTTCGGCCAGAAGAGAGCCACGAAAATGACTGGTACTCTCTGTTTGCACCTTCTTTAGAGCCTGTGGAATTAGTTGGAAGGGGGGAAAAGTGTAGCACAGCTGGAAGCTCCACCTTTGAGCAAGAGCATCTATCCCCATTGCTCTCTCTTCTCTCTTCAGAGAAATAAAACCTGACAGGTTTTGGCATTCTGCCAGTTTGCAAAACACATCTATTTGCGGCTGACCTCATTCCTGAATTAAACAGAGGAAAATTCCTTGATTTAGGCAACACTCACCCTCCTTCAGTTGGCATCTGCTCAAGAAATGGGCTACCAGATTCAGTGAGCCCTTGAGATGGACTGCTGACAAGGATGCCAAGTTGACTTCTGCCCAACTCAAATATTCTTCTGCGAGGCTTTGAAGACTTCTGCTTCCTCTGTCACTTTGCCTGTTTACATAGACTACTGCTGTGGTGTTGTCCATGCAGACCTGCACGTGCTGACACTGGAGTTCCTGCGAGAAAGCCAAGAGAGCCAAAGCAATCACCTTTAATTCTTTTCAGTTCAAGGAGTTTGTTGCTTGCGGCCTTGACCACTGCCCCTGTGTGAGCTGACCTCCCAGGTGCACTCCCCAGCCCCAGGAGCTGGCATCTGTGGTGAGGATCCTTTCTATGGAAAGGGCCAGGTTAAACCTTTGGAGAGGACTTCTGTCTCTTCCACCACCAGAGGGATCTTTTCACCCTGGAGGGAACCCTCACCTTCTTGTTCAGCGAGGCCAAGTCCCCGTTTCAAACTCTCAGGATGAATAGTTGTAGGGGCCTGAAGTGTCTCCACTGAACTGCCGGGATGGAGGCTGTTAACAGACCAAGAGCAAACATAAAAAATCTGATTGACACCTGCTGGTTGCCCTGAAATAGAGTCAATGTCAACAGCTTATCTATGCATGCTCTGTACTGCTGGGCTGCTCTCGCTTGTATTGTCTACATCTTTTTTTCTGGCAAAAGAATTTTCTGTTCCTCAGAACAAATGCAAAAACCCAGAAAAAAAAACTTTCTTGGATGGGGTTGGATGGCAAAACACCATGCCAGAATGTCTTTGAATCAGTCCAGTACGGAGGAACAAAAGTATCTTTCTTCGAAAGACTTTCCGATGTGCAATCCAGATCTGACTTTAAGTCTGGCCCAAAGAGGAGATCTCCTGAATAAGAGATTCCACACAGCATAACTTTTGAGGTAGAGTCCCCCCTGCCATGTTTTTAAACCATTAGGCCCTTCTCGCAGTGTTAGACAAGGCAGTTGAGCTAGCTGTCATGCGTATGGATTCTGCAAACGCATCCACTATATATCCTATAACTCTCAAAATTGTAGGGAAGGAATCAAGAAATTCAACCAATGCTCAAGATTCCTTGCTACATAAGCTGGCTTAAAATTTTCCATTGTGGAATGCCATGCTCTCTTCAGCAAATCCATACTTTTATCCATTGCCTCTTTTAGGCACCCCATGTCTTCCAATGCTAAATCTGTGCTTTTTGAGACTTGGGAGAAAGCTGCATACACCTTAAGCACTTCACAGTGTACATAAGAAAATAAAAACAGCATACATAAGTGGCCCATAAGAAGCTCTCTCCTACCTAGGCTTTGCCGGAGCCTCCGGCTGTCCCGGAACTGCAGCAGACACTCCTGTTTCCTCCATAGCAGAGCCTGCAGCGTTCCACGTGGCTGTATGTCCTGGTCCTTGCACACTGCTGCACCAGCCCAGGACCTGGAATAGGCACTGGCTGGGTCCTGCCCCTCTCCTGCGTCCAGCCACCAACAAAACCGCACCCAGTGCAGCCAGATTCCAGGACATCCACACCACCAGTGCACTGACCTCACACACAAAGGATCCAGTGTACAAGATAGGCCCTCAGCTACCAAGGGGATGCTGTGTCTTCCCACCTGGCTGGAGGAAACACGATAACTGAAGATTGTGGGAGAGGCGTTCAAGATAATGACAGATGTGGTGGGTGCGTTTCTTGCAGAAAGACGTCTTGAGAAAAAGGTGCATATATAGTATTTCTTTTCACAGGAGCCTGCAAAACTTGCATTTTTCAATTGTGACTAAGCCATGGTAACCATCTAAACACTTAAATGCAAATCTCTGGGACTATTTGTGATTTTTTTTTTTTTTTTAATAGGTTAATCCTGCAGAGATAACCAGGCAAGCATGCTGACAGAATGAGTTCACATTTAAAACTTCACCTTCGGTGATGTTTTCCATAAAATCTAATTTTTCCAACCTCACTTAGCACAGCCTACCTAGTAACGTATCTTCACAGCGCTAATCCAGTAATGTTTCCTGTGCGGCTCCAGCCTGCAGCTGCACAGCATTTAAATAAACACACGCAAACCTTCAGGTCAGCTCTTTCTCTCACTAGACATGCATGCTATGGCCCCATTCATTCTCCAGGTCCTCTGGATGCTTAGAGCCATGGTGCTCATGTGAAGAGGAGGAGGATGGAGGTTTTATCTGCGAAGATTACTGGATTGGAGCTGAACGTATGAAAGGACTGCATTTGGGGTGGAATTAATGTAAAGTTTTGTTCAGCTTCATGCATTAAAAAGGCACAAATGATTCATTCCTAAGAAGTCGTGCTTGCAGGAAAAGGCATGTGCATTCAAGGAAAAATAGAATATATTGAGTGTAGTTTGCTTAATTCTTAGTTAATTCTTAGGTGCCATTCATTCCTAATCAAAAAGTGCTTGCTGAAAATTGCAGCACAATATATAAACATGCAAAAATTCAAATGAGAATAGCACATTCCAATTGTATTTGAAAAGAGAAAGTCAAAGAGCTAAGCAAACATTTTTCTTTATTAAAAAAAAAAGCAAAAACTTTGCATTACGTGAAGAAAATATATATAAAAATAAATAAAAGTATTACCCAAATTTGTTAGCAGATTCTTCTATCATTTCCCGAAGATTTTCCTTCAGGGATATGTCCATGGAGTTAAATTTCTGTTTCACCTGTTTTAAAGGCAACCTAGGAAAGAACCCCGTAATTAAAAAACGGGATATATAAGTATCAAACATAAACCACGTACTCCAATGCTCAAGACTTTGTTATAATAAAATATTGGTGACTTGCCAATCACTGAAGTAGAGCGCTTTGTTACGTGCACAAGATTTCTTAAGTATTTTTGCCTAGGCAGGCCAAAGTCATTAAGATCATTAATGTTACATCTTTTGAAGAAATTCCTTTCTGAGTTTGAAGAATGCAGTTTTTTTTTTGTTTTTGTTTTTTTAAAGTTTAAACCAAACAAGAAAAGTAAATATTTGGACTATAGTCATAAGCTGCAATGGTTGTATCATAAAAACAAACTTCATTTGGTAGATGATACAACCTACAAGTAATGGAGAAAAAAAAAAAAACACCTTAATTTTTAACCACAAATAATTTGTTGCATTTTCCAGATTAGTGGAAACAAGGGAAAGCCAGGCATAATAAATATTCACAGTAAAAGGTATACAGCACTGGGATGCAAAAAATGGACAAAGAAAGGTTAAAAAAAAAAAAAAAAATACAATCTTTGTACTCATCATAAAATCCATTGAGACACAGCTTGATAAGCAACCTAGAGTTATACTGCCACCTACAGGAAAAATGGACAGTAGGCCACTTGTGGCTATAACCCCTTCGACTAGCTCAAGCTGACTGTTATGAGAGGAAGCAGTGTCGCTCAAGTATATCTGAAATTTATTTTTTACAGTGATTACAACAGCCTTATTTTCTCTATCGCCCATTGAGGGACACATTGAGGATGTTGAATGGAGGCACTGATTCTTTATGAGACCAATAGCCCTAAACAAAGGGTCCAGAACTACATCCCAACCCAGAAAACTGACGCCCATTGTGACAATCTTCAATTGTGACCAAAAAAAAAAAATTCATATACATCTGCCCTCCAACACTAGGAACAAAAGTCATCAAGATCATCTTGTCCAGAGGAAGACTGAATTGGTCCTTGCACCTAGAGAATGTTCCGTTGTAAGGTTCTTGACTGGCATGGAGTCAATGAAACTTTTTAGAAGGTAGGTCTATCAGTCCCTGCACTCACAGGGAAAACTGACTTTGGCAAACAAGATTCTGCAATTTCTTCAACCTCTCCCTGGGCAGGAAGACCTTGACCTGAAGGATGTCCAGGCCCAAGCTCTTTAATCATTGTAATGGGAGAAATTTTGATGTTCAAAATCCATTCAATGCTGAGTTTTGATGGTGCTTGAAGATAGATGCTAATCCAGACTTTACTGGAGAAAGGACAGAATATGTCCCATGGAGTATTTCCTAGCATGAAACTTCTGTGACTCACATCAAGCAGGGGGGTGATAGTAGAATTTGCAAGAAGTCAATTTTCCTAGCCCTCAGGAAGGTAGGGACGAGAGAGTCTAATAGGCCCCTGTTTCTGGCCCTTGGGAAAGAACAACCAAAAAATCCAGGAGGGCCCACAGCATGTCTGCCAGGGGTTTGAATATGTACCTTCTAAGTCTAATTGGTGAGATAAGAATCACAGGAATGCCCTCCATCTCTATCATGCAGACATGGAGATCCTGGAGGGCAGAAAGGCATAGATCAGGTTGAGGAATCCTACACGTCATCAGCAGGTCCACTGTAAATGCCCAAGGATCCCTTGTACCTGACCACAAACCAGAACATGCAGTTCTGCCCAGGAGAGTTTACACGATGGGGCCCGCTAGAAAAAAAAAAAAAAAAGAGGTCTATAAACTCTCAAAAGGGCTGGGAGGGTCTTGCTGGGACAAGAAATGGCAGGATTCACCACATGGACCGTCCACTTTCACAGGAAATTTTCCTCAATAGTATAGTGCTGTGCAAAGTGTTTGAGGCTTAAAAATCTCCTGGAGGAGGCCAATCCCTATATAGCACAGGCTCCACCAGAGATTGGACTAGCAATGTTTAAAGCAATTTCAGCAATTTAAGGGACCCACGGCTAGAGAATTAAGGGTGAGCAGACGCAGACTGTTCTAACACCAAGCAAGAGAATACAGTGTGAATAAGGACAGCAATGACATACTTAAGTTTGGATGAAATCTCCGCCATGGACATGTCATTCCTGGTTTAATTTCTCAGTAGGAAAGGGTGGGGGTGGGTAATCACCTGCGACTACCTCAACCTTGGGTAATGTGTCTGGTTCAAGGACAAAATCAAAAGACTGATGTACGGATTCAGGAGGGAAGGATGAAGGAGCACTGTTGTGACCGCTGCCATCAATAGCCTCTATAAGGCCTGAGATTCTACCTGTGAATTCTGACATTGTGGTATTAAATTCCTCTCTGGATTAAAAGAGAAGGAAAATTGTGTACGGTCAACTAGCCAGCAGAATAGCCAGATAAAGGCAGTGAGTTAGATTGGGGACAACCATCAGAACAAAGGCCCTGTGTGGTCTAACACCCAAACTGGAGCCATGAGGTCATCCCATCTGATCCCCTTTCCCTTGTGATCTGCCATGTGCTATGAAATATTGTCTCCAAAAGAGGCAGCAAGACACTCAATCTCAGTAGCCCACTTAATAATGAGGTGGTGCAGTTCACAAGACTACACAGGTGCACTAAAACACCATAGGGGAAAGTTCCGACAGATGCCATAGTGCCAATACCAGTGAGCACTAGGCTGAAAAAATAATAGTGCCAAATTCATATTTTCAATAACAGGATTGGATATTGGCACCCTGGGCATGAATGATTAGAGGCTTCCAACCTTTACTCACTGCTGATGACTTACATAGTCTGGCTGATAAAAGACAAAAGTCCATCCAGTTCAACCAAAAAAAAAAAAAAAAAAAAAGTTATAATCCTATACCCACAGTTGATCCAGAGGAAGGAAAAAAAAAAAAAGAAAAGAAAAACAGCAAAAGCATGATGCAATTTGCTCCTGCAGGGGAATAAATTCCTTCCTGATCCCTCGAGAGGCAATCAGATATTCCCTGGATCAAGTTTACCTTTAAATGTTAGTATCCAGTTATGTTATGTGTATCTAAGAAAGAATCCACTGAGCTGGCCAGAACCAACTCTTGAGGGAGTCTACTCCACATTTCACAGCTCTTACTGTGAAGAAACGTTTCCGTATTTGGAGACTGAATCTCTTCCTTTACACATAAAAAATGCCCCCTTGTTCCCTGTGATGACCAAAGGGTGAATAACTCTATACAGAATTCACTATATGAACCACTCATGTAAAGGTTGGAAGCCCACCATTGATTCCCCCAGTTGTACTCCCCCTAGTATGTATGATGCATGCATATTCTTAGCCCCCAAGTGCATAACCTTACATTTTATCAACATTAAACCTCATTTGCCACATAGTTGCCCAATTAAACAGTGCATTGAGGTCGGCTTGTAAATTGGAGGCATCCTGTAAGGGCGTTATTCCACTGCACAGCTTGGTGTCATCTGCAATCTGAAATGGGATTTTTAATCCCAGACCCTATATTGTTTATAAATATATTAAAAAGTAAGGGTATCAGCACTGAACCTTGGGGTACATCACTAACAACCCTAGACCATTCAAAGTATGAATCATTAACCACTACTCTCTCAATATGAGCTTTTAGCCAGTTTTCTATCCATTTACATACTGATTTTTCCAAGCCTGTAGACTTTACATTACACATTAGCTATGTGTGGGGGAACAGTGTCAAATGCTTCAGCCACCGCCACCCCTCTGTTCAAGGTTTTTCTCACCTCCTTTAAAAAAAAAAAAAAAAAAAAAAAAAAAAAAAAAAAAAAAATCTGATTTGTTTGACAACTTCTGTCTTTCATGAATTCATGCTGCCTGTTGCTTAAAATATTTTTTTCCAGCAAGAACTCATCTATGTGGTCTTTTATGAAACTTTCCAGTATCTTCCCAACTATAGATTTCAAACTAACAGGCCTATAATTACTTGGTAAAGATTTTGATCCCTTTTTAAATAAAAGCACCACATTGGCCTTAAGCAAATCCAGTGATACTATGCCAGTCAATAAAGAGTCCCTAAAAATTAGAAAATGGCTTTGAAATGACAGAGCTCAATTCTTTAAGGACCCATGGGTGTATGCCATCCAGTCCAGGTGCTTTATTCACTTTTGTCTAAATATTTTTGGATAATATCAGTTGTGAGCCAATGTGGATCATCTGGGGCTGTGTCAATACCATGCCTATTGTGGACAAGAGCTCCCCCATGCTCCTTTGTATACACAGAGCTGAAGAAGGTATTTAATAAATTTGCCTTCTCTTTGTCCCCAGTCACCCACTCTAGATTATTCTGTAAAGGGCCTACATGCTCGGCCCTAACCTTTTTATTATTTCGTTCATTTAAAATTTTTGCGGACTTTTTACATATTGTTATATTTTGTAATGTTTAAACCAGGGGTTAAAATTTTGAGTCCAGACCTACTATCCGGTCACAAAACTTACTCTTCACCAGTTGCACCACACAACCTTGCCCAGGTCTGCCCCCACCCCCCCCCCCCCCCCCCCGCCCCCAACCATGCCCCCTTAAAACTTATGAAACTACAATTTTCTTTAGAATAAATAGTTCAAAATATAAAACTGTACACAGTAATGTATATCCCAGCTCCCCTGTACTCCATTATAGTGATATGACATGTACACACTAATCATTACTGTATACATGTCATCACTATAATGGAGTACAGGGGAGCTGGAATATACATTACTCTCCACATGTCTTATCACTACAATGGAGTACAGGGGAGCTGGGATATACATTACTGAGTAATGTATATCCCAGCTCCCCTGTACTCCATTATAGTGATATGACATGTTGTATACAGTACTTACTGTCCCCCCGAGGCGGTGGAGAGGGTGACTCCTCTCAGCGGAGGAGAGCGGACCTCTCCTGCACCTGTCCCCTCGGCGGCGGTGCCGCAGAAGCTGGAAACCGGAAGTTGTAAACCGGAACTCGGCTTCACAATGAGGCTTGGAGCGCAGGTGCGGTCGCTCCATGCTTCATCTGTGCTCGCAGCAGAGAAATTTCTCCTCACATTTGGCGAGCGGCTTTTTCAAGCCCTGGTTTAAACGATGATAGCGTTCATTCATTTCTATTTTATAAAAGCTCTTTTCTTATTTATAGCTTTTTTAACTTTGGCCGTGAGCCACATAGGTTTGATTTATAGCCTTTTAAGCTTGTTGCCCATGGGAATATATTTTGTATTGTGTTCACATACGGTCCTGTTGAAGAACTCCCATTTCTGTGTTGTGTTCATCAAGGCCAATATTCCCACCCAGTCTAAGTCTTGGAGAGCAGCTCTCAGCCTAGGAAAATTAGCTCTTTCAACCACTTGCCAACCGCGCTATAGCCAAATGACGGCTACAGCGCGGTTGTCCAGTTCTGGGAGGGCGTCATATGGAGTCTTCCCAGATCACGCCCCCCCCCCCCCCCCCCCCCCGGCAATCTCCGCAACCAATTCCACAAAGCTCTGCCCCACGCCACCAACCACTTGGCCTTGTCAGGGATAGCCATTTCATGAGGTGAGCAGCCATCCTTACTCTTAGGTGGAGGTGTACTTATTTGTGGTGGAGCACTGTCGGTTGGAATTGTGGAGCATATTTTCTATTCAAGCACAATATTGGGTTGGAGCTATTACAAGAAAAGGACTTTGCATTTCTAATCACGTTGGACACATTTGTAATTTAATTAATTTATTTAGGACATGAGTTAGCGCAACACTATTGTTCTTATTGTTTTGTATTGAGTGTGGGATCACTTTTAAGTGTTATTGCAGCAGCTCATTCCAGTTTAATATATTATAGGATATCACACATTGTTTTTTCTTTATTAAAGCCCTGTATTAGAATAAAAAAAAAAAAAATAAAGCAACTCGCTAAATAAGTAATAACAGTATTCATACTCTGAAAATAAAAATTTAAACAAAGATTTACAAAATTAGCCATTAGATCAGGGGGTGTCAAACTCAATTTCACCGTGGGCCGCATCAGCATTATGACTGAGGTCAAAGGGCCAGTTGTATCTGTAAGACTACACACATGTATCTACTCTTTATTATAGTAATTTTCTCAACCAAAAGATAGGTACAAAGTTTGCATGGGAGCCAAGCCTATGTGTTGTAGGAAGCCAGTCTATGATTCCAAGAAAGTAAGGAAGACCTCCAAATCATGACTGTATAAGAAGCAGAAAGTACAACCTTTGCATATTTTAACATCTTATGTTGCCCAGCATTATATACAGCAAAATATACCCATATAGGCAGAATAAGGAATACAAGCGGACATATACAATAAATGATTAGGTGCAAAAACTACATTACCCCATGTCAGCCAGGAACTCTTGAAGCCTTTTCTGGCCTTGAACAGACCAAAGCTTGAGAGTGGCGGAAGTGTAGCAAGAGTTACAGATGCTTTCATACAAAGACCAATGCTGATATAATGAAAGCCGCACACTAATTCCAAGAGTTAAAGAAAATAATATTGATAAGGAAATAAAAAAGACAAGTGTCAAATTATATTTTTCCAGTTTCAAAAATAGTACCACCAAAACTATTTAATTTTTCCATTTATGTGGAGTAAGATTTGTGCATCAGATGTGTGAAGTCATGTGTACATTCATAGCTGATCTGGGAATTTGCTTCTGTAAATGTCCTCCATCAATGTCTTACTCATGATACTTGTAAATATGTGCAGGTCCCCAAAGAGTCTAGTAACAAGCACAGCAAACAAAGCATTGAGGAGATATGACCATATCAAGTTAAAATGGAAAGTAAAAGAGAATATGGCTTCATGCATAAGGTTCTGAATTCAAAACCATTTATTTATCCTAGCCAACACTGGGGAAGATTTACTAAAACTGAAGCACCCAGAATCTGGTGCAGCTGTGAATAGTCAAACAAATTTGGCAACCACCCTTTTAAGTGGATCTTTTATCCTAGCCAGCTGAGATATAAAAAAAAAAAAAAATGTGGCACAAAAGTTAAAATACTAGCCTGGAGCCCCTTTGCAATGCTGCCCCGATAGCTAAAAGCCTAGGTATGTGACCAGGTGGTCTCTGCGGAAGATCAGATTTTAGACTGTTCAACCTCCCTTTCAGCATAAATCATGCCTTCAAATAACTACACTTTTTTTTTTTGTTTTTTAAATATGCAAGAAAAATTGGAGGGAGGCTACAACAAAATATTTGCCCATCTATTATGTATCCAATCAAGCAACTGTCAGCACTTTTTTTTATTTTAAGAGGGATAGAAATATTTATATTGCACAAAATCCAGCCCCAAACTCATTTAGAGGGATGCAGTGGATAATGCATTTTCAGACAATCCTGCTGCGTTGATGCCACCATCATACTTGCTATTACTTCATACCACTGCCTTTTGCACTAGTGACATATAGCCGTACCCTCACCCTAATCCAGCTCTGGTATCAGTGCTGCAGGCTCACACACATATTTTGGATAATATAAAACCTACAAGTTTAAATTATGCCTGTTAGCTGCAAGTACTAATATATTTTGTGTGAAAAAACCTTAGGACAGTTTACACAGACATAGCTGGGTAAACTGTTTGACAGTTACTGCAAACACATCTGACAGGTTCTCTCACAGCAGAGGGGGATGTAACACAGCTCTGCTTTAGTTCCATAAAAGGGGATGCCCACAAACTGGGTTTCATACAGGGGAGGAGCTGACAGGCAGTACCAGCAGCCAGAAAGTTGTGAAGTACTGGTGCATCAGCATTTCTTTTTACTAAAAATGATAGGTATTTAGACATGAATAGATCTGCACTTAAGTTTCTATTGCTGATGAGATGTCTACTTAAAATTATCTAAAACATTTATCAGGATACTCATATTCAAAAGCGATCCTCATGCAGTCAATGGAGAGAGAGTTTTCTTCATCCTCATTGCGGTGGTTATGTCTAGAACATGCCGCTGCAGAGTTCCCACATCTGTTACATATTTCATCCTTTTAAAAAAAAAAAGAAAAAGAAAAAATACATTTTTGTTTTCTTTCTTCGTTTTCCAAAACTGTGGCAACAAATGAGATCTGCAAAACACTCACCATGCCTCTTAGCAAATACCTTAGAGTGTCTATTTTCCAAAAAGGGGTCATTTGGAGGGGTTGCTTCTACCATCCTGGCATTTCAGGGCCAACATTAGAAGCTTATGCCACACATCACCCACTCTTGAAGACCAAGCCTTTTCTGACACTTTTTGTTCACATGAAAAAACTGATTTTTTGCTAGAAAATTACTTTGAACCCTCAAACATATTTTTTTAAAGCAGAGGACCTAGAGAATAAAAAACGGTGGGTGTTGTAATTTTTTTTACATCACACAGTGTTTGTGCAGCGATTTTTCAAATGCAAATCTTTAGGAAAAAATACACTTTTTAGAATTTTAATGCACAAAAACACAATATATTGCCCAATTGTTTGATAAAGTATAAAAGATGATGTTACGCTGAGTAAACAGATACCAAACATGCTTTAAAATTGCGCATGCCCCTGCAATGGCAACAAAGAACATACATTTTTATTGATAGGCGACGCTTTAAAAGCATTTACAGGTCACGAATTTATATTTACACAGGAGGTCTAGTGCTACAGAATTACTGCCCTCGATCTGACATTTGCAGCGATACCTCACATGCATGGCGCAACCGCTGTTTACATACTGGCACGGGGTCAACGCTTGCAATAGCACAGCGATCACATGATCACCGGGTCCCGTTCACTGGGATCTTCATTCTGCTGGACACAGCAGTTGCGGGGGGGGGGGTGTTGGGTGGTGTGTGCGCCCTCTCCCTTGTTAGTACAGCCAGAGCGACATATGGGAACGTTGCTTTGCCTGTAGCTGCCGCAGGGAAGTGGTTGGTGGGAAGAGGTTAAAGAAAAAAAAATAATTAATGAATAATATAGCCACCCTTCTTTGCAATAACAGTTATAAGCCTTCCATTCCTGGAGTCTGTCAGTTTCTTGTTCTGTTGACTTCCAACTTTTTGTGCAACAGCAATCACATCCTCCCAGACACTGTTCAGAGAGGTGTACCGTTTTCCTTCACTGTATATCTCCCATTTAAGAAGGGCCCACAAGTTCTCAATAGGGTTTAGGTCAGGTGAGGAAGGGGGCCATGTCATTATTCTTTCATCTTTAAAATATAATGGTCTTCACCTTTGGAACATGTTACGTGTTCCACCTGTTTTTAGGGTGGAAGACGTAACATGTTCCCATAGCCGCAGCAGCACCCACCACCCCCCTCCGTTTCCCCGTACGATCTGTCACATTTGAAAAACAGTGTGGCCATGCGGGGCTCCGCCCTCACGGCCACATCACTCATTCACAGAGCTCTGTGAATGAGTGCCTACAAGTCCCGGCAGCCTTGGCGGCTGTCGGCTTGTAGTTTTCAATGTACTATTATGGACCTGTGGAACATCGTGGTAGTCCCATACAGTTAGCAGATATTCTGACAGGTCTGCGGGAGACCTGCATGGCATCAGCAAAATGCTGATCGCTGATGCAATGCTTTTCAGGTTCCTTTGGACATAAATAATAAATGCACATTTTCTTACCTGCAAAAAAATGTGCATTTATTATTTTTGTCCAGAAGGAGAACTTATCCTTTAAGACATTTACTTCGATGCATGCGATGGAGCATTGTCCTGCATAAATATAATGGTCTTCTTGAAAGATGCTGACTTTTTCCTGTACCACTGCTTTGAAAAAGCATTTTCTAAAAACTGGCAGTAGGTTTGGGGTGCTGATTTTGAGACCATCTTCAACCCAAAAAAGGTCCAACTAGCTCATCTTTAATAATACCACCCCATACCAGTGCCTCACCTACACCTTGCTGCCGCCTGCGTCAAAATGGAGCTTTGTGCCTGTTACTGATCCAGTCATTGGCCCATCCAACTGGTCCATCAAGAGTTACTCATCTTATCAGTCCATAAAACGTTTGTAAAATCTGTCTTCAGATATTTCTTGGCCCAGTCTTGACTTTTCAACGTATGTGTCTTGTTCAGTGGTGGTCAGGTTTCAGGCTTCCTTACTATTTGCAACAAAACATTTGATGGTTCTGTGATGACGCCTCAATATCTTAGCAATTTCAAGAGTGTTGCATCCCTCAAATAGTGTAAATAGTGTATAAATTTAATACAAAATGCTGTTAAAAACACTTACATCAATGCCGTGTAAACATGAGTGTCATACGACTACACATCCCAGAATTCCTCAGCACCAGAGAGCACATGCGCATTGACATTATGGCCTTGGCTCCACCTGAAGCGTTACATCAGGAATGTGTCGGACGGACTTGGAGGCTGTAATGTCAACGCGCATATGCGTGGGTGCAAAGGAATTCTGGGATGTGTAGTTGTGCGACACGCATGTTTACATGGCATTGATGAGTTTTTAACTGCATTTTATATTAAATTGATACCGGATTTACACTATTGGAGTGCTTTTTTCTCCTTGTATGCCATTTACCGATCCTATATACAAGTGGCAGACAATTTGACAGGAGGGTGATTAACCTGACGGCGATTGTTTCTGGATTGATTCCCAAACGCTGTTTGACTTATGAGGGCCAGTTTCTTTGGTAAGCCTCAGAGTGGTTGGTGAAGCACATATGGTGATGTGGATATAGATCACATTAGATTTACAAAGAGGATTGCTTTCCTATCACTTTTAGCACTTGGTGGAAGTCACTCATCATATTTAAACTTTTATTTTATATTATTTATGCATTTTGTGGTATTTATATATAGAGCTGCACAGTTTGATGTATCACCAAGACGTGTGTGGATAGCAAATCACTTCACTTACACTGTAGATCTAATAAGGGTATGGAAGGCCACAGAATACTTTTTGTCAGTACTACTTTACTTACAAATATTTAACAAAATGGTAGTTACCAGGAGCAACAGTTTCAGGTGTCAAAGCCTTCCTCAGGCTTACTAGGAAGCCCCTCAAGCAAAAAAACTGGCTCCCGGTAACTATCATTAATTACAATTTGCAAATAAAGAAGCACTTACAAAAGTATTCTGTAGTAACACCTATCCTTGAAGCAGTTGGAAAACTTTGTAAAACATCTTCCACTGTCTAGGAACATATCAAATGGTACTTTTCAGCTATGATGAAACCACTAGCATAGAGGAATAAAACTAAAGACCATATATACAAATGTAATAAAGAAATACTCACTGAGTAATTCTGTCTTGAACCCACTGGTCAGTTAAGCCAACAATAGCCCACCTAAAAGACAAATCAAAACACCAAGCTTGTCATACATAATGTATGCAATATTTAACTTCCTTTATATGTTAAAGGAAACAAAAAGAAAAAAAACCCCCAAAAAAAAAACTCTGGCCCACTTATTTCTTTGGTTAGAGCAGAAAAAAAACGGGTTGAAGGACACTGGTCAACAAAGAATAAAAACACAAAGACCATTAAGCACCATTGAATGGATATTGTATGCAGGGGCTTACATTAAATTTACAGTTAACAGGGTAACTCCAGTTAAATGAATATTGCAAAAAATGTATATGTATATTTTATAGCATGTACAATTGTCACTCAGGCAATATTATATTTTGTTCAATTTCTTTATTTATAGAATTCAACAAGATTAGAGGAAATAATTTTTAGACATAGGTTCATTGCAAGGAGCAGGGATGTTGAATTCCTATCACCTGACACCCGGGACATGTAGTTCCGGGCACCGGGCAGGTAGTTTTTTTCCTCCTTTAGCCCTGCAAACCTGTCAGGTGAAGCAATCGCTGGCAACACTGCCGTCAACTGCTTTCACACAGTGCCAGCCACTCCGCGTACCCCCACCATGAGGTTTCCCAGGCTCTGCTTGCCCATCTGCGGGCTGGCTCGTTGTCGGCTAGACGTAAAAGCACACGCTGGGGCGCCTACGCACGAAACCGTTGATTGCGATACTCATGTCACATATCGCCGCGCATGCCAGGATGAGAGCGATAATTCTAGCACCAGACCTCCTCCGTACACTATACTGGTGACCTACAGTGGGGATCGAAAGTTTGGGCACCCCAGCTAAAAATTTGTATTAATGTGCATAAAGAAGCCAAGGAAAGATGGAAAAATCTCCAAAAGGCATCAAATTACAGATTAGACATTCTTTATATGTCAACAAAAGTTAGATTTTATTTTCATCATTTACACTTTCAAAATAACAGAAAACAAAAAAAATGGCATCTGCAAAAGTTTGGGCACCCTGCAGAATTTATAGCATGCACTGCCCCCTTTGCCAAGCTGAGACCTGCCAGTGTCATGGATTGTTCTCAATCATCGTCTGGGAAGACCAGGTGATGTCAATCTCAAAGGTTTTAAATGCCCAGACTCCTCTAACCTTGCCCCAACAATCAGCACCACGGGTTCTTCTAAGCAGTTGTCTAGAAAACTGAAACTGAAAATAGTTGACGCTCACAAAGCTGGAGAAGGCTATAAGAAGATAGCAAAGCGTTTTCAGATGTCAATATCCTCTGTTCGGAATGTAATTAAGAAATGATAGTCATCAGGAACAGTGGAAGTTAAAGTAAGATCTGGAAGACCAAGAAAAATATCAGACAGAACAGCTCGCAGGATTGTGAGAAAAACAATTCAAAACCCACGTTTGACTGCACGATCCCTCCAGAAAGATCTGGCAGACACTGGAGTTGTGGTACACTATTCCACTATAAAGAGATACTTGTACAAATATGGTCTTCATGGAAGAGTCATCAGAAGAAAACCTCTTCTACGTCCTCACCACAAAAATCATCGTTTGAACTTTGCAAATGAACATATAGACAAGCCTGATGCATTTTGGTAAACAAGTTCTGTGGACCGATGAGGTTAAAATTTAACTTTTTGGCCGGAATGAGCAAAGCTACGTTTGGAGAAGAAGGGGCACAGAATTTAATGAAAAGAACCTCTGTCCAACTGTTAAGCATGGGGTTGGATCAATCATGCTTTGGGGTTGTGTTGCAGCCAGTGGCACAGGGAACATCTCACGAGTAGAAGGAAAAATGGATTCAATCAAATTTCAGCAAATTTTGGATGGCAACTTGATGCCATCTGTGAAAAAGCTGAAGTTAAAGAGAGGATGGCTTCTACAAATGGATAATGATCCTAAACACACCTCGAAATCCACGGGGGATTACATCAAGAGGCATAAAGTGAAGGTTTTGCCATGGCCTTCACAATCTCCTGATTTCAACATAATTGAAAATCTATGGATAGACCTTAAAAGAGCAGTGCGTGACAGACAGCCCAGAAATCTCAAAGAACTGGAAGACTTTTGTAAGGAAGAATGGGCAAAGATACCTCAAACAAGAAATTGAAAGATTGGCTGGCTACAAAAAGCGTTAACAAGCTGTGATACTTGCCAAAGGGGGCAGTACAAGATATTAACTCTGCAGGGTGCCCAAACTTTTGCAGACGCCATTTTTTTGTTTTCTGTTATTTTGAAAGTGTAAATGATGGAAATAAAATCTAACTTTTGTTGACATATTATAAGAATGTCTAATCTGTAATTTGATGCCTTTTGGAGATTTTTCCATCTTTCCTTGGCTTCTTTATGCACATTAATACAAATTTTTAGCTGGGGTGCCCAAACTTTCGATCCCCACTGTATAAGGAGCTTTAAAAGTGTCAACCTATATATAGGGTACTGAAGTTTGTCAACATTTCACAAGTGCGCACAAATTTAAGGTTTGACATGTTGGATATTTACTTGCTGTGGCCTCATCTTTTATATTTTACAAAAAAATAGGGTAATTTATTGCTTTTTTGTGCCATAAAACTAACTTACATGCTTTTACTGCAAATTTTAGTAAAAAATACAACATAAAAAATTGGAACCACCACTGTTTTATTCTCTAGGGCAGGGGTGTCAAACTGGCGACCCTCCAGTTATTGCCAAACTACAAGTCCCATCATACCTCTGCCTTTGGAAGTCATGCTTGTAACTGTCAATCTTGCAATGCCTCATGGGACTTTGACACCCGTGCTCTAGGGTGTCTGCTTTCAGAAAATATATCATGTTTGGGGGTTTTATATAATCTTCAGGCCTAAAATGATTTCTTAAACGTGTGCAAAAAACGCAAAAATGGATCTGGCAGCGAAAACGCAAAAACGTCCTGACCCACCCCTTTCCTGACGAGCAGCCAATCGGTGCTCATTACACTGCAAGGTCTCTCCCCTCCCTGCTAGTCCCCGGGTGCGGTGCTGACGACAGGCGGGGGGGGGGGGGGAGGAGATAAACAGCGCAATGTTAAAAATATTACATGTGTAAGTCGCAATAAAGCCCCTTTTGTTTTTAAAAGCCCTAGATAGATTTAAATATGTTTTTGGTTAAATTTTTTTCTCTATTTTTATCAGGACATGTAGATTGTCATGAGGGACAAGTGGATTGGGGCCCCGATTTAGTCCCTAGACAAGTAGTTTTTTAAAAAAAAATTCCACACCCCTGAAGGAGAGACTATCATGTCACAACAATAGGAACTATGATAATAAGGCTATGTTATTGTTCAGCTCACCCTGAATACATAGAATAGCCAACCATTGAAAAGCATGTGGTGGAATCCAGTCCTGAATCAAACAATAAGAGCAACAACAAACAACATGGATAAATGTGAGGGGGAGCAAACTGGGATAAAAGGGGGTCTAGTGGGCAAGATAGCCTAGATAGAAGCCCAGAAAATAAGGGGTAGAGGTCCCTCTACCAGGAAGCGAGGAGAGGGGGAAGGAGCTAAAGTAAATGTTAACCATAGTAATAATACAAAAAGCAGTAAGAGTAATAAGAGGAGGGGATAAGATGGAAGAGATGGCAGGAGGGCCACCAGGGAGCCAAGAACACCTATCACGTCCAGAGACATCATGGAGAGAAAATGCACAAGTCCACACCACCATCACTCCACTCTGGCTATTGATCATTTACTTTCCTCAGAAAACAGAACATATGCTAGTGTCTCCACATCTTATGAAAGAATGTGCAAGATAGCCTCAGCTCTCCCGGGTCTCTGCCTCCTCATTGGCTGAGACAGAAAGAGGGAGCCTTTGGCTCCCGTTGGTGTCCATCACAGCCAGTCATCCAATGAGAGAGGGGGGGTGGGGGCAAGCCATGGCTCCGTGTGAATGGACACATGGAGCAGCGGCTTAGGAACAGGCCTGTTCGGGTGCCCACATAGCAAGCAGCTTGCTATGGGAGCACCTGGCAGAAAGGAGGAGACAGGAGAGCCTGCGGGGCATCAGGGAAGAGGAGGCTCTGGGCTGCAGTGTGCAAAGAACAAGTAAGTAGAACATGTTTATTTCCCAAAAAAACAACAAAAAACAAAACACGAACCTTTTAGTATTGTTTTAAGATGGATCCTCGATACATTTTTGTGAGAATAGTTATGAAGGTGGAAAAAGAAAGCATCCCTGGGGATGTGAAAATCTGTGAATCATTGAAAAATGCTCCTCATTTGCTCACAGAAATTAAGAGTTTCAGGCACCCCCAGAAAATTTGTAATAAGTTACCTCTACAGTCGCCGTATCTGCAGCTGTGATCTAAATGAATCTGTTGTGGAGTTCTGTACAACCTAGTAATGATTTTGTAGTTACATCCCTGGATTTTGGACAAATTGATGTTTTGAAAGTGAGAAGAAAGATTTTCTGGAGTTGAGCAGGGGAGAATGTAGTGTTCAGATCACATTTCCAGGCAGTAACGAATTGCAGCTGTATATCAGGATTCGGAATGAATAGAGAAAAGTAAATGAGCGATGGGAAGAGTCTGAGGAAATCCTTTTAGTTTATGACACACCTTGGTGGATTTTGCAAGGTGGAAATTAAGTGATGCACTTGTATAGTGTTCCAAAAAGGGAGATGAAAACTACCTGTGGGGGAAATTAGGTACTGTAAGTCAGGATCGGCCAACTGTCATCTATGAGCCATTGAGAGGCACAATGAGTCCCCAGTTGTTTGAGTCATAAAAATGGTGTGTCAGAAATCCCCAGAGTAAAAGTCTGGATTCCCAAGAATGGGGAGAACGGGTGAATGTTATAGAGCTGCTATGTTGTAATTTAATGTTATTAAATATTATTTTTACTTTTCAATCTGCAAAGCTGTAAATTGTGTAATATTCAATACATTGTGCATCAAGCAGGAGGCACTCTGTACACCACTGGTGTACAAAAATCCTCCAGAAATGTAATTTCTTGCTTGTGTAATTGGCTCATTGATTTCTTTCTTAGAAGTCTGCACCGAGATACAAGATTTTAGGCACCTCCTGTAAGAGAAATTTAAGTTTTGGTGAATACTCCCTAAACGTTAAAGGGTTAGTTCACCTTTACAAAAAAACTGCCTATGCAGAAAAGGGATGTCTGTAGATTAAAACAAGCTGAACACCTTTGGCAAAAATTAAATTGTGCCCGTGCTATAGGTGTAGGCCATTTACTTGCCCTATGAAGCCTTAAAACTCCAAGGATGTGCTAAAGGAGACCCAGCTATTACTGTCCACCTCCACCATCAGAGGAGTGAGCTTTTTCTCTGATTCAAACCTCCTCACACGCGCTCTCTCCCCCAATGCATTACCTCTGAGCTCAATTTGAGAGCTCACTCCTTTGATGGTGAAGGTGAACAGTAATAGCTATACTTAGCAATGTCCTGGGAGTTTTAATGCCAGGCTTCATGATGTAGGTAAATGGCCTACACTTATAGTGAGGGCATTATTCAACTTTTGTCAAAACAGCACAGTTTGTTTTTATTTACAGATGCCCCTTATCTGCATAGACAGTTTTTTGGTAAAGGTGAACTGACCCTTTAATTACTTCTAAAGGATGCAGACATGGCAGTTTTGCTCATTAGTGGGCACCAATAAATGAGTATGCAATCAGTCTGGAGAAACCGTTATAACTTCACAGCAACAAAAGGTCAGAATCTATTTTTTTTTTTTAAATGAGAAGTATAGTCAAAGCTATTTTGGCTATACTTCTCCTGTAGGTCACAGGAGTACAGTTCGTTCAAAGTAGTAAAAGGGCAGAGCAGAGAGCCAATGACTGAGTCACAGCTCTGCTCAAAGCGGAGGGGGAGAACTGAGCAATCACTGGTGTTTGATCGCTCAGTTCTCACTGCAGGGTTGGCAGGGGGCAGATTCAGCATCAGATCAATGGTGAATCCACCTAGGTGAGTATAAATGGTGGAGTGGAGTTACCTCTAAGTTTTACAACAGGAAGAAAACTGAATACATATTTAATTTAAAAGATGCTCATCTTTGGTAGCACATCACTCTGGAAATTGCTGAGCAGAAGATTCCTGCCTGTGCTTATTCTCTCCAGTGTGTATTTTTACATGGTAAAAAAAAAAATCAAGTGTGAGCATTACCAACTCTAAACCCACTGTTAGGGCTTATAGTTTGCATGCTTGTGTGTTAATATTCATGGTGGGTCATATTTTCCACAGTGTTTTTTATACCCGCAAATGCAGATGTGGCTACTGTTCAAAGCTCCGTCAAAGTGTTTAGGGAGTTTTCCTAAACCAGAAGTGTAACCTATTTGAGCACCATTTTATACGCACGGCAATTCCTCAAAGTACACAAAGCCTTGGCAGTGACCATAAGGTCGAATTCCTGAAAAAAAAAAAAAAAACTTACCATAACATGTCATTTGAATCTTTGGACATGATCCATGCCAGCTCAAACATCATCATTGCAGACTACAGAGTAAATAGGTGGGGGAAAAAACCCCAAAAAAAAAAAAAAAAAAAAAAAAAGACATAAAATTACCCCAAATTTGAAACAGTACAGATATATATGTGCATCTCTAAAGCTGGAGAACAGCTAACTATTGGTATTAAATTTTAACTTCACAGCTAGCAGTGCAGATATTTTTCTTGGCTGAATAAACAATATTTGGGATGGTGTAATATAATAAGCGATTGTTAAGATAAACCTTTCCCTAAAAGATACATGTGGGCTTCTACTGCCCATCTCATTCTCAAGATGCTAGTTGTCGGGCTAATACACTTACCCGCTAAGCTCAGTAAGGTTTACTTCATTGACATGAACAAGTATGCATATCTGCAAATTCAAACAACCCTATATACATACTGTTTCCAAGCAAATGACACATCCGATTAGAGGTGGTGGTTAAATCACTAGTATTTACAGTGAGAAGTGGCAACCTCCATGATTCGTTCAGAAAAAGGTTTCCATTTATCTGCATTTACTTATTCAGCAAGCCAACTATTTAAAAAATGAATAGATAAATAAGTGAGTCCCTAATTATTTTTGGTCTCTCTCTAGCTTTCCTGGAGGCACAATATAGGTTTAGCTCACACACCACCAAGTTCCTAATGACATCTGAAATACATTTATAAATTTGGTCTGGTTTACAACTGGCAGTGCAAAATTCTTACATTCAATTATAGGATCTGTCATAAGCAAACAGCATAAGACGCCCCAGACGCCATCATTCAGTGATTGTCAAGTTGCCTACAAACTATGAGAGTAGCGATGGTCACTTAGAAGGTACCAGAATATGTTCATATTCACTTTCTGTACTATTAGGAGATCTGGAAGTCAAGACAGCTTCAGTCTGAGGGTTTCCATAAATTTCTCAAAAGTAAAGTCACAAATCTGAGTGATTCAAACTTGTCCAACAATGAAAAATACATTTAAAAAATCAATCATCAGTAGATCCAAATATTTAGGCAGCTAAAATTTACATACAATACTCAGCTGCTCCCATCACCAAAGACATTTAGGTTCTTTAACATTATGGACAGCCAAAATAGGAAGGCTTAGTGGAAGCGTCAACCCTGACTTTCACTGAAGTAAAAAATTTGAATATTTCATCTGTCCATTTTCAGTTCTAGCAAGCTCTGCTTATGTATCTTTTTTTAGCATAATTTTAGCTCGATTTCCCCAGGTTTGTTACAGGTTTACTGTAAAATTTCAAAAGATGGCAAGAGGTTATCACTCAATACAAAAAAAAAAAAAAAAAAAAAAAAGTCAGAGCAACACTGTCTAATTAAAATTTGCTTCAGTGTTTTTTGTTCACATCAGAACGGCTTCTTACCCCCATACAAGTCAATGGGAATGCAAAAGCAGGTGATGCAGCCAAGAAAAAGGTAAAATGCAGATCAAAAGCACTTGTCAAAAAGGACTGTGAAAGCTCTCAGAAGTATCACAAAGCGATGTTGGATGTAAGCAGAAGGCAACTAAACTGTCTTTTCCCATCAACAGTAAGGATTATTTATCTTGCTGCAAAACTTTCCCAGTAGTCATTTCAGGAGCTTGTTCTAGTATATTGGTCCTGATAATTTTAAGGCATCCTTCCCAGATCTCTGCAAACTATAGCGGGTGTCAATTCTTCTAACCCAGGGGTGGGCAACTGTGGCCCTCCAGCTGTTGGTGAACTACAAGTCCCATCATGCCTCTGCCTTTGGGAGTCATGCTTGTAACTGTCAGTTTTGCAATTCCTCATGGGACTTGTAGTTTCTACAACAGCTGGAGGGCCACAGTTGCCCACCCCTGTTCTAACCAGATCACCTATCGATGCCTCAGCCAAAAGAGTCATGTTAGGTCAAATAAGGCTTATGCAGGTCTCCAACATGCTGCAAAAAGTTAGAAATATCTCACAAACCACTTTACCGATGTTCCATGGTATTCATACTGTTCATAGTCAAAGAGGATTTCTCTTCTGTAATTAAAAAAAAAAAATATCAAATATGCGCTGACATACAAAAAAGAAATAAAAGTAATGAACTTCAAGTTAAGAGGGTACTTAATATCTACAGCCTGGAGGAAAGAAGGGAAAGGGGAGACATGACTGAAACCTTTAAGTACATCAAGGGGGTGAATACGATTCAAGAGGGTGATATTTTCTTCAATATGAAACCAAGATCAAGAACATGGTGACATGACCTCAAACTGGAAGAAAGTTCAAAACTAATCTTAGAAAAGGACTATTTTACTGAAAGGGTAGTTGATGCTTGAAATAGACTTCCAGCAGAGGTAGTTAGTCAACAGTAAGTGGTTTCAAACATGCTTGGGACAGACAAAGATCTATACTCAAAGTAAAAACAAAACAAAAAAGGAAAAAAAGGGCAGGCTCTTGGTCTTTTTTCTGCTTTCACTTTTCTATTCTTCTATGTAGGTTACTTGCAATTGGTAGGACACCATTATGACATTGTGTTAAAGAAGTTCACCTGCGTGCCTCCCACTCTCTCCTCTCCCGTCGTCTCTCAATTCTTCTTTCTACAGCTCCCTACACAAGGAGGAAAAATACATACCTTAGTAGGTAGAATTACATATTCCACTCGAATGGAGAAAGTCACTACACAAAAAGTCTCAGATATGCACACAGGAGTTGGCACAGGCCAGGTCATATAAGCATTACTGCCATTTTTGTTCTCTAGTCTCAGAGGTTGTAGTTTACAAGTAATGTACCTCATCAAATCGTCTCCTCTTCCCTGAAGGTTCAGAGCCATCACTATCATTACCAGAATCCTCTCCATCTTCATCCTCCTCGTCATCACGAAAAATGTCATCATATGCTGGAATTTCCAGGTCATCATCTTGTTTGATAAGCAACTTTATCTGCATAGATAATTACTGTATATTACTGATATCATAAAGGTATTAACCCATTGCATGCCTCAGTACTCCACACATACCTGGGAGTCATTGTACACATTCACTACATCTATTGGTCTGTGGGTGTCACATATAAAGAATACAGCCTCTTCCTGTGGCTGCAGAGTCTCCAGAAGATCAATATTTCCACCACAATTTATAAGTACAAAGTAGCGAAACTGCAAAAGAAACAAACTAGGATTATACTTAGCAGTTCATTTTACTTTACAGAACAAGAAAACCCTAAAAGTTAAAATGTTATGAAATTTGAGTGATGTATGGTTAGTAATAAAATTATTTTGCCAACTTTTGTTGACTCAAATTATTATTATACAGTATTTATATAGCGCCAAAAAGTTTGCTCAGCGCTGTACAAAATAGTGGGGGACAGAACATGAGACAATACAGTAATAAAACAATATACGAGGGGTGCGAGGGCCCTGCATTTTCGAGCTTACAATCTAGGAGGGAGGGGATAGTGGTACAGGAGGAGGTGGCTGTGGGGGATGGAGAGGTAGGAGGAGTGGAGGAGATCGGCTGTTAGGTGAGGTGGGGTAGGCTTCCCTGAAGAGATGGGTTTTCAGGGTGCGCCTAAAGGTGAGGAGGGTAGGTGACAGTCTGATGGATTGGGGTAGTGAGTTCCAGAGGATGGGGGAAGTCCTGGAGAAGTCCTGCAGTTGTGTGTGGGAGGAGGGGACCAGGGGAGCTAGAAAGTAGGAGGTCTTATGAGGAGCTAAGAGTACGAGTTGGGTGGTATTTGGGTATCAGGTCGGTGAGGTAGTTTGGGGCAGTGTTATAAATGGCTTTGTACGTCAAAGTTAGTAGTTTGAATTCAATGCGTTGGGCAATCGGAATCCAGTGAAGGGAATGACAGAGGGGGGTGGCGGATGCAGAGCGGTTGGTAAGATAGAGGAGTCTGGCCACAGAGTTCAGGATAGACTGAAGTGGGGATAGTCTGTGAAGAGGTAAGCTGGTGAGGAGGAAGTTGCAGTAGTCGAGTCGTAGGATAATAAGGGAGTGAATGAGTTTAGTAGTGTCTGGGGTGAGGAACGTACGTATTTTGGAGATGTTGCGGAGGTGGAGCCTGCATGAGTTTGCCAGCGATTGGACATGGGGTTGGAAGGACAGATTTGAGTCTAGTGTGACACCTAAGACTTTGGCTTGCGGGGTGGGACTGATGGTGGCATTGTTGGTCATGATGGAGAGAAGGGGGGGTGGCACAGGCTGGGGGGAAAATTAGGAGCTCAGTTTTGGAAAGGTTTAATTTGAGGAAGTGGAGCGGCATCCAGTATGAAATGTCATTCAGTAGGTGGATGATAAGGGTGGAGACATAAGGGGTGAGGCGAGGGGTGGAGAGGTAGATTTGCGTGTCATCGGGGTAGAGGTGGTAGTTGAAGCCGTGGGAGTGTATCAGTTGGCCAAGGGAGGAGGTGTAGATGGAGAAGAGAAGGGGCCCGAGGACAGAGCCTTGGGGGACCCCAACAGAGAGGGGGAGAGAGGGGGAGGTGGCAGCGTTATAGGTAACGCTGAAGGAGCGTTGGGATAGATAGGAGGAGAGCCAGGAGAGAGCGGAGTCTCTGAGGCCAAGGGAGTGTAGTTTATTAAGGAGGAGGGGTGGTCAACTGTGTCGAAGGCAGCGGAGAGGTCGAGGAGAATTATTTTAGGTTGGATCTGCTTTTGCCAAGGTGCCATACAAATCCTCAGCACTGTTCGTATGTAAAATTATAAACTGCCAAAAAAAGATAAGCAGGATGCACGGAAGCAAAAATGTTATGGAAGCAGCTATGCAAGAAACAAACAAAGAACTTTCAAAGTGATTAGGTTTACCTGCTCTTTGTGCTCAAGGAAAATAATTTCAAGCTCCTGCCAACCAGATACCGGAACTAGTGTGTACTGGACATGGTCACACTGAAATAAGGACTAGTAAAGAAACAAATTAACTTATTGATTAATTCATTTATCATACTGAATCAGATCAAAAACATAGCTAACAACCATGTCACCAATCATACTTTCTCTGCAATAGGAGAATAAAAAGGGCTCACTAAATATTTTAAGTTCAGTATTTTATCATACGTGCTATTCATAAACAAATATTGCACATTGCTACATTACTAAAAAATAACTGCGTAAATTGAAAAAAAAAAAAAAGTCCCAACTCCTGCTCTGCCGTTTCCTACCTAAAGTACCGTATTCACTTGTTTTTGCCTAACCAAAGAAGCAGAAATGGTCCTTAACTGGATGCCGTTGCACTCATTTTGCTTAGGTTCCTTGTGCAGTTGGATTCAAATAAGCTTGAATTAAGCTTTGACTGTCCTTGCCCAGTCCCCTTCTGATCTAATAAGAAATTGAGTGTGTAATCAAAAATTACTGTACTCTTAAAACGTTTTCATTTTTGGCTGTTACGCTTCAAGTGGTAGATGTTATAATCTAACCCAGGAATTCAGAAATTGTTGGAATGTCCAAAAGAAGGGTAGGCAAGTGCAATAAAACACTTATTGGTCCACAAAAAAATAAATAAAGTGGTTCTTTGAGCTGCAGGCAGTCCCTAGTTTTAAGCACCTTAAGCTGACATCAGAGGAGGCCTAAATATCCACCTCAGGGGTGTGGAAATTTTTGATAAAACCACTTGTTCAGAGACCAAATTGGGGTTCCAATCTACTTGTCCAGATTAAAAAAAAAATTTTAACCAAAACCATATTTAAATCTGAGGTGCTTTTAGGGATGTCTGGGGCTTTTAAAATCAAAAGGGGCTTTATGGCGACTTAAAAACGGTAAACATTTTTAACATTGTGCTGTTTATCTCCAGTGTAATGAGCACTGATTGGGTGTTCCTCAGGAAAGGGGAGTGTCGAACTTATCCTTTATCCCTTTAGCAGCCAGAGACATTTTTGTGTTTTTGTACAAGTTTAAAAAATTCTTTGAAGATTACACAAAACCCCCAAACATGATATATTTTACGAAAGCAGACATCCTAGAGAATAAAATAGTGGTAATTCCAATGTTGCATGATATTACAGCAAAATCTCAGTATAAAATACACTTACGTTAATATTAGGGCACAAAAAAAAAGCAATAAATTACCCTATTTTTTTTTTTTTTTTATAAAATATCAAAGATTATGTTGCACAGAGTAAATAGATATCCAACATGTCAACCCTTCAATCTGCATGTGATTGTGAAATGGCTATGAATTTCAGTATTTTCTATAGGCGACACTTTTCAAGACCCTTATAAGTCATCAATGTAGTGGAGGAAAAAAACCCTGCAACCATTCTGCCAAAAGGGACTGGGGTGATGACACTCTGCTCCAGAAGACCTTCTAACCAGTTTGGCAAGGCAGGCAGACTGGAAACCATGAACTGGGGAGGGGGCCGGAAGAGAAACTCTAGCTTGTAGCCCTTGGAAACCATTTCTGAACCCAGGCTTCAGATATATAGCCTGCCCAAGTGTCTGCAAATGCTAACTAGCACCTCCCCACTTTCGAAAGTGTGGGCAGCCCCTCATACTGGAGAGGATTTATCTGAGGGCTTGAGGGAATTTGAGACCCAGGGTTTGCGGACTGACTGGAAGGCTTGGGTGTAAAATGAATCTTTCTTGGTCTCCAACAATGACTCAGTCTTCCTAGACTGAGCCTTACATTTTTTTCTGCTGAGGAAGATGTGTACTATCACACTCAGTAACAATCTTAATGAGCATATTCAGGGCAGCCCTGAAGAGACATTTTCCTGCAAGGGGCAACTGCTTCTTGCTTGAAAGTTCATCATAAGGCAGGAGATGTCCAACAATCCATCATCCAGGCTGTAGCCATGACCTTTAATCGCTCTATGGTCAAGGCATCAGCTGCCCTGTAATCTAGTCCAGTCAGTGTCAGAAAAAAAATTAAGTTACTGTCAGAACAGGTTACACTGCAGGGCCAACCGAGCTCTAAAAAAAAAAAAAAAAAAATATTTTGTCTATGGGAGGGAGAGAGAGAGAGGGAGAGGAGAGGGAGAGGGAGAGGGAGAGGGAGAGGGAGAGGGGGAGAGGGAGGGAGAGGGAGAGGGAGAGAGAGAGAGGGGAGAGGGGAGGGAGAGGGGAGAGGGAGAGGGAGAGGGAGAGAGAGAGAGAGAGACTGTAATGCCAATCAGAGCTATTACAGCAATCAGGTGACCCGAAACTGCTGGAAGTTCTGGGTTTCGATCGTTAGTATGGGACCCAGGGAGACACCAGTCTCTGTGCTGGGAGCGTACAGCACAAACAGATATGCATATAAAAAAAAACGGAAAAAAAGCCCAGTGGGGCGGCATATATGCATAATGTCGACAGGAAGGGGTTGAAGACAAACGTATCCTCCAAATGGGTCCTTAAAGGCATGTGGCTTGTTTGCCTCGCCTTGTAATGATGGGCTCACTTGGTGTGACTGCAGTTTGTAGTGTCATGGCTGATCTATTCCCTTATGTATGTACTTATTCACCTCACTTGTCCCTATTAACTAAACAGACAGGCAACCTCTTGTTCCAGATAACGAAGCATCCAGTCCATGCCTTGCCATTTCCTCTGTGTTGCGACACAAATATGGGCGTGCTAATTTAATGAAAACACATCTCTTTAAGCATGGTGCAGGCAGCACCAGAACAGTTAGTGGGAGTGGGAGCTACAGCCACCTAATAGAGTAGGATCAGACATGTTGAACTACAGGGCAGAGGGTAACGTAGCTTAGGGTATGAGGTTAGGCTGCAAATACTCACAAACCAGTCTGTTGAGTGGCAGGATAAAAGTCAGGTGGCAGATGATCAGGTCACTGTAGGCTGGCAGAAGAACTAAAGTGATCCTTCAAAAATACAGGGTCACAGCTCTGAATCAGAAGAACAAGACACTCTGGTCTGGAAAGTGGCACAATGCAGAATCCTGAAAGTCATATTCCAGGCTAGCCCCATACATCCTTTCTATTGGGGTCTGGATACAGCACTCCTAAGTCAGGCTTAGGAAAGGCCTATCCAGAGTGGAGAGGCCAGTTCAGCATAACCTTGATTGAAGAAAAAAGTACAAAGTAACTAGTAAAAATGGTTGACTTTTCTCCACAGAGCGATAAAAGATGTCCATTCTCCTAGACACTAGCAACAAACTAAGGCGTGTAAGGACTTGAAGTTCTCTGAAAGGTAGTAGTATAACCTTAGAACCCCTAAATTCCTGTGCCCATCAATGAATGAGAAAAAAAAAAAATGTATTGCTTAACATAACCATCTCCCTTGTACCCAGGTTTGAAAAGAGCCATGTTTTACAGTGCAGTGTCCAATCTTGTTAGTGGTACAAATATGTTGCATATTTCTACTCCGCACCTCACCCAAAGGCTGTGTTCAAGTGTGAACAGAGCACATAGACAACAATTGTTTTCTGTATTCCCTTGTGGAGTACCCTTTTTAGTGCTGAAAACTGCACAAGCGAACAAGCTCTAATGGAGAACACAGTAATTCAACTGCCTCTGCAGATGCCTTCTCTTTTTTTATGAAAGTTTGGAGGAAAAAAAAATAAAAAGTTTCATTTATCAAAGTGTTAGCACATTTGAAAAAGAACCATGCACAATTCCACACTGAAATCCTATTACGTAGTAACAATACTAATGAAAGTAATCCTATACTTGGTGCAAGTTCCTTTTTCTGCAGGTGCTCTCTACTACTTTCTCATTCTAAGGTGAAGATGACATAGCTCTTGGACTGCACACCTACAGCCCCCTGGGATACCACGTTACACATCTGGGAGGCCAAAATATTTAGCATGCACAGAGAAGGGTTGGCTGTGAATGCCCAGAAAGTGAGAACCAGATCCCAAATACAAAGTGGTGGAACGAGGATCTGAAACCCCGAAAAGAATCAGGTGCTAGGAAGACAATGAAAGACTTCATGGGATGGTAAATATGTGCATGTTAAAAGTTAACAGTTACAAGGGACTTGTAGCTGCTGACATGTAGTTTTACAAAGGCTGGGTATAATTTTCTTTTTAACCCCTTTGTGATGGAGGGTAACAAAAATGTTAATGTCTGAACACAGTTTTACAACTTTGGCATGTTAGTAAAACTGTACATATCATTTCAACTACTTTGTGTATCCAGGTACACCAATATTTATTTCAGGACAAATTGGGCTTTCTTTTGGTAGTAAATGATAATGGATATCTCATTTTTTTCTAACAAAGGAAAGAGTGGCCCAAAATAGTAAAAAATAAAAATAATATTATATTTTTTATTTTTTTACATTTAGCAACAGTATATTATTTCTTGCTACTACCATAACCCACCACCAAAGAACAACCCCAGATACATTCTCCTGCTCCTGACGATTGCAGCAATACCATATACACTGCTCAAAAAAATTAAAGGAACACTTTTTAATCAGAGTATAGAATCAAGTCAGTGAAACTCCTGGGATATTGATTTGTTCAGTTAAGTAGCAGAGGGGGTTGTTAATCAGTTTTCAGCTGCTTTGGCGTTAATCAAATTAACAACAGGTGCACTAGATGGACAACAATGAGACAACTCCCCAAAACAAGAATGGTTTTACAGGTGGAGGCCACTGACATTTTTTTCTCTACTCATCTTTTCTGACTGTTTTTCACTAGTTTTGCATTTGGCTGGGATCAGTTTCACTACTGATAGCATGAGGCAATACCTGGACCCTACAGAGGTTGCACAGGCAGTCCAACTCCTCCAGGATCACACATAAGTACGTGCCATTGCCAGAAGGTTTCAAGAGCATGGAGAAGATTCCAGGAGACAGGCAGTTACTCTAGGAGAGCTGGACAGGTCCGTAGAAGGTCCTTATCCCATCAGCAGGACCAGTATCTGCTCCTTTGTGCAAGGAGGAACAGGATGAGCACTGCCAGAGCCCTACAAAATGACCTCCAGCAGGCCACTGGTGTGAATGTCTTTGACCAAATAATCAGAAAAAGACTTCATGTGGGTGGCCTGAGAGTCCAGCGTCCTCTACTGGGCCCTGTGCTCACTGCTCGGCAACATAGAGCTCCACTGGCATTTGCCACTGAGCACGAGAATTGGCAGGTCGGCCACTGGCACCCTGTGCTTTTCAGAGATGAGAACAGGTTCACCCTGAGCACGTGACAGACTTGAAAGAGTCTGGAGAAGCCATGGAGAATGTTATGCTGCCTGTAACATCATTTGGCATGACCGTTTTGGTCATGGATCAGTGATAGTCTGTGGAGGCATATCCATGGAGGGATGCACAGACCTCTACAGGCTAGACAATGGCACCCTGACTGCCATTAGGTATCAGGATGAAATCCTTGGACCCATTGTAAGACCCTACACTGGTGCAGTGGGTCCTGGGCTCCTCCTGGCACACGGCAATGCCCAGCCTCATGTGGCGAGAGTATCCAGGTAGTTCCTGGAGGATGAAGGAATCGATACCATTGAATGGCCCCCATGCTCGCCTGACCTAAATCCAATAGAACACCTCTGGGATATTATGTTTCGGTCCATCCGATACCACCAGGTTGCACCTCAGACGGTCCAGGAGCTCAGTGATGCCCTGGTCCAGATCTGGGAGGAAATACCCCAGGACATCATTCGTCGTCTCATTAGGAGCATGCCCAAACGTTGTCAGGCAGGCATACAAGCACAAGGGGGCCATACAAGCTACTGAGTACAATTCTGAGATGCTGCAATAAAATTTCAGCAAAATGGACTAGCCTGCTGCATCATTTTTTCACTTTGGTTTTCGGGTATCTTTGAATTCAGTCCTCTGTAGGTTGATCATTTTCATTTCCATGAAATGATGGGACATCCTTATGTTCCTAATACATTACCCAGTTCATATCAGTATAGATATCCAGCATGCTATTTTTCCCCATTGAGATCTGATGTGTTTTCAAAGTGTTCCTTTACTTTTTTGAGCAGTGTATGTTATTTGTAGTTTGTACCTGTAGTAGGGCCCAGAAACAATAGTGGAGATTTTTCTTTTTTTTTATCCTACTAAAAACACACTGACATAAATATATACAATCAGCACAGTGTCAATCAAAATATGTGAATCTGATAAAACTCAATTGCTGCTAAACATCAACAGTGTTTTTCACAACACCAGACTATAAACAAATATAAGAAGTAGTGCAAAATCCTAATTAGAATCAACAGAAAAAGTCCACAATTCTATATATCAATAGTCCTTCACCAATATAATAGAAATATGTGATATCTTCCATAATCTTCCTATACTTCTCTTGTCGCCACTCTGATCACCCAGTGCAATATATGTGCTCACCTTCAAAAGTGGACCCAAATATAAATCGAGGCCATATGGGCATATATCCTAATAACTGAGGGGTTGTCTCAACCGTCTTTTCCTCCTTCTCCTGCCGCAACTCCACCCTCAAAGATACGGGTACCTGTAGCCACAGACACATGTCCTGGTCATGTGACAACGTATCTTTCTCTCCATTCAAAAGAGAAAGAAAACACATGGGTGGGCTGAACAGCGAGTGATCACTGTGATAGCCAATCAGAGGCTATCAGAGTAATCAGTTGACTGGGAAATGGGGAGTCCTGTCCCGAATGTTAGTATGAGACCCAAAACTCTCAGCGAGAGCCTATTTTCTGTGCTGGGAGCACGCTATGGAGCACAAACACAGGTATGCATATATGCGGCCTCACGGATAAAGACACTTCTGTGAGGCCGCATATATATATATATATATATATATATATATATATATATATATATATATATATATATATAAGTGTGTACAGTCGGCAGGAAGCGTTTAAAAAGAGTGACAATGGGTAATTTCCATGTGTCTATAAAGCTACAAAAATAATAGAAAAAAAATATTTTATTTACAATAGGCAGCTTACATTTACATATCAATGTAGAAAAATAAAAAAAGCTGGCGTCGTCTCATAAACTTCAATTTAACTAATTTCTTGATCCCATGCAAAGCTGTGCCGCATTGCCGACCCCGCTGTCCGACATCCCTGCTAGAAAGGAGGCAGGTTTGTGAGTGACACACACTGCTCTCTAGTAGCAGAGGCCACTCTGGAGAACAGCTTTGTCATTCACAAAAGAATCACACGACTTGCAGGCCATCATAGACTTGACCCCCCTTCATGAAAACACTGCCATGAAGCCCTTCCCAGACACGTTTTATGAAACCCCCACAGAACACAGCCATGGTAGCCCAAAATTCATTCAGCCCTCCTCCAGTGTGCACTAGTACCACGGCCAGCTCCAAATTTCATCATCCTCTTCTGTTCTATTCACTACAATGTGGAGTTGGCAGCAGTAAGGGCTCGTTCACACTAGGCTGTTTTGCCAACGCTTGCCAAATGCCCCTATAGCGTTTGGCAAGCGTTGGTCCGGTGTTTGCGGAGCGTTTTTAACGCTCGGCAAACGCTCCGCAAACGCCGCATGCGCGGTTTAGCGGCGGTTGCTAGGCGTTTGCCGAGCGTTAATAACGCCCCACAAACGCCTATAATGCATTTGAGTGGTGTTACCACTCCGCAAACACCCCGCAACCGCGTCGCAACCGCACCGCAAACGCCGGCCGGGCGTTTGCGGAGCGGCACCATAGATGAGAATAGGAGGCTTCAAAGCCTCCTGACTCGACCAGAGGCGTCCGTTTTGCCGCAACGCGACGCGACGCAAACGCTCCTGTTAGAACAGCACCATGTGCTGTAATGTGCAGAATTGGCAGAGGCGTTTGGGAAGCGGTAAAAAACGCTTCCCAAACGCCCTCTCTGCCGCCTGCACACAAGGCTAGTGTGAACGTAGCCTTACAGACTGCTTGGCCTTCGGTGCCTTCCTGCCCTCACACTATGCTCCTCGCAACCCCTGCTGAGCCCCCATCCCTACAGCACTCACATCTCTTGATTCTCTCCTGGCACCATCACCACTATTACGGTTCTTCCAGGAACACAGCTGTAATCTCTAATCAGCCCCAGAAGGTGAATTATACAGCCTTGCAGCACTGAGTGATGTTATACTGTTATGGATGACTGACACTGTGGGGGCTGTGCAATAGAACTGATGACTGCTAGTATATATACAAAGCAACTGCAGCTCAATCACACAGCTCTGACAGTGCCGATTCTTCATTCATAACAGTATCACTCAGTGCTGCAAGACTGTGTATGTTTACAAATAGCCACAGATAAACACAGACTATACAGCACTGAGATCTTTATTCATAGAAATGAACAAGCAGCACTGTCTGATCTGTGTCCAGGGGACCAGGTGTTATATGCACATAATTCCCTGGGGGAATAAATAAAAGTGTAAAAATGTTCCTGAGAGTTGTTAAAGTCCCTTTATTAAAAAACAAACACACACAACAATAAGGAAAACAGCCTTACCTGAAGTATTTTACATCCACACAGTGCATCCACATCAGGTGCAACAAGGAGAAGCACACGCTGAAATCAAACAGAAGATCGTGAGCCAGTCTGCATTCCTCCATATTCCGTGGTGTTTTATAACTATACAGTTGTGTCCAAAATTATTCAACCCCCACTGAAACTTGAGTGTTTTGGCCAATTTGACATTGCTTTTGATCATTCAGTCATCTTGCTTACATTTACATTAAAGAGGCACTTGTAGTCAGACAAATATAACATAACAGTTATAATGAAATAACCACAATGTCTTTTCTGTGCTCACAGCATTATCAGTTTTATTCAACCCCCAAGTGACATTCAATCTTAGTTACTTAGTACAGCATCCTTTTACAGTTATAACAGCTTTTAAACGTGAAGCATAGCTTGACAGAAGTGTCCATGCAGCGATCTACGGGTATCTTCGCCCATTCTTCATGGGCAAAGGCCTCCAGTTCAGTCACATTCTTAGGCTTGCGCACTGCAAACTGCTTTCTTTAAGTCCCACCAGAGGTTCTCAATCGGATTTCAAGTCTGGTGACTTGCGATGGCCACTCCAAAATGTTCCAGCCTTTCCTCTGCAAACCATGCTCTAGTGGACTTGGAGGTATGCTTGGGATCATTGCCTGTGAAAGGTCCAACGTCTCCCAAGCCTCAGGTGTGTGACGGACTGCATCACGTTTCCATCCAATATCTCCTGGTACGAAGAGAATTCATGGTACCTTGCACACGCTGAAGCTTCCCTGTACCTGCAGAAGCAAAACAGCCCCAAAGCATGATTGACCCTCCACCATGCTTCACAGTAGGCAAGGTGTTCTTTTCATCATAGGCCTTGTTCTTCCTCCTCCAAACATAGCGTTGATCCATGGGCCCAAACAGTTTCTAATTTTGTTTCATCAGTCCACAGAACACTATCCCACAACTTTTGTGGTTTGTCCACATGGCTTTTGGCATACTGCAGTCGACTCTTCTTATTCTTTGGAGACAGCAAGGGGGTAACGCCTGGGAGTTCTGGCACGGAGGCCTTCATTACGCAGTGTGCGTCTTATTGTCTGGGCTGAAACTTCTGTACCCACATCTGACAATCTTTTTCTCAGTTCCTCAGCAGTCACACGGGGACTTCTCTCCACTCTACGCTTCAGGTAGCGCACAGCATCGAAAGTCAGCATCTTCTTTCTGCCACGACCAGTAGCGTTTCAACAGTGCCCTTTGCCTTGAATTTGCGAATGATGCTTCCTAAGGTGTCTCTTGGTAAAACATCTTTGCAATCTTCTTATAGCCATTGCCCTTCCTGTGAAGAGAAATCACCTCTTCTCTTGTCTTCCTGGACCATTCTCTTGCCTTCACCATGTTTGTAACCACACCAGTAAATGTCTAGAAGGAGCTGAGTATCACAGTCATTTTTAAAGCTGCCTAATTGGTGCTTATTATGCTTGATTGCTGCTCGGTGACATCCACAGGTGTTTTCAATACGATGGAAAGCACCTGTATGAACCTCTGTTCTTCAGAGTGGTAGTCTTTAAGGGGTTGAATAATTGTGGCAATGAAGAAACCACATAAGAACCATTTACTACTGTATTACATAAACAATTGATGTCATTTTAGTTGCATTTGGGTAGTTACAACGTCCTTGTAGGATTTGATTCTGAATACAATTCCAAATGTACACTATAGTCCCTAAACCCCTTTACAGCATTGGGGTTGAATAATTTTGGACACAACTGTACATCAACCTTTTAATGACTCTACAGGTCCAATGAGACACTGCAAAACTGACAGTTGCAGCTATGACTTGCAGAGGCATGATGGAACTTGTAGTCCTGCAACAGCTGGAGAGCTGCAGGTTGTCCCCCCTGAGCTAAGAGGAGTTCCAGGAGGAGGAATCCGTAAAGAAATTACAGCTTTCAGGCAGAATGTACCATGGGATATGTAGTCCTTAGAAAACGAAAGTAAACAGCAGAGAAGCTGCAAAGTATGCAGGGAATCCAGGAAGTTGTGAAAAGAGATGGCCAGAAGACAGGCAGCGCACATAACATGAAAGGAGATGTTTCAAGTAAAACTGTCAAAAGTATCTATTGCTTGCATGGTTAAGCTTCATTCACACAAGCGTACTACAGCATACGCCTGTGCAAGGGCCACATCTGTCTTTAAGGGGATGCACAGGTGTTCTCTGCAGACGGTCCCATTCATGTCAATTGGTGTTTGGGAGCTCCAATGAAGCAGCCATTGCTCCCAATCTGAGAGCTGTGCAGGTGCATGGCCCTGATAGCACAATAAACAAGAAAAGAAGGTGCATCAGCCTTGCTCATTACCTTTGCAATAACAATTATTAAATGAATAAAACAGATGTCTACTCACAAACGTCATGAAATGTCACGTTTTCAGTATTCACAGTGTGAGACAGCCAGGGTCCCTGTAAAAAGTTTCAATCACAAAAACACCTTCAAATCGGAGGACGCATTTCGAGGGGAGATCCCCTCTTCCTCAGGGCTCTGAGGAAGAGGGGATCTCCCTCTGAAACGTGTTAGCCATTTTGAGGGTCTTCTTGTGATTGGAACATTTTTCAGGGATCCTGGCTGTCTATGACACTGTGCATACCAAAAATGACATTTCATGACGTTTGTGAGTAGGCATCTGTTTTATTCATTCAATAAATGTGGTCGCAAAGGAAATGCGCAAGGCTGGTGCGCCCTCTTTCCTTGTTTTTCTGTGAATTTTCTGGGCTTCCCAGGCCTGCAAAGTTGTCGCCACTTCCCAGCCGACATAAATTGGTCAGTCTACACAGGAACACCTGTGCATCCACAATGTGGCCGCCCGTACGGGTGTACGCTTGTGTGGACGAGGCCTTATTACAATACTGATGTAACAAATGATAGTGTATGCTGTAACCACTGATTTCATTTAACACTTCCCACAATGCAGTACACAGGAATGTGTCACTACACACGTCCTATTCAATACAACCATCAGTCCCTCCCCTCATGCCAGGGTACTAGGTGTAATCCTAGACTCCCATCTGTGCTTTCAGCCCCAAATCCAATCACTGTCCAAATCTTGTAGACAATACAAGTGTACAATCCAAACGCACACGTTCCTGCGTTAAAAAATGGTTGTGTGTATAAGTGGGTGCTGCAGCGACCGTCGGCTGGTACCCAACAAAATCAGCAAGGGAGAATGTCACCAGCACATCGAGGATCATCAATATGGGTCCAAAGGTTTTAATGAACGATCACATAGTTACAGCAAGGCAATGTTTCAGAGTCTCGCAGGACCCCTTCATCAGGCATGTGACCTTATATACTTCAATCATGAGGAATCATCATCCAAAAAAAACTAAAGTTCATCTGCGATCCAAAAAAAGCACAAATATGTGTTAATATTAAATCCCCTCGGTTGTGTTGTGTCGTGGTCACATGCCTGATGAAGGGGTCCTGCGAGACTCCGAAACATTGCCTTGCTGTAACTATGTGATCGTTCATTAGAACCTTTGGACCCATATTGGTGATCCTCAGTGTGCTGGTGACATTTTTCCTTGCAAATCTTTGTAGACTTTATCTCCACAACATCTCCAAGAAACAGCCTTTATTAACCTCTGAAACTACTAAGCAATTTATTCTCTCCCTGGTTATCTCTCGCCTTGACTATTGTACTCCTCCTCATTGGCCTACCTCATCGCAGACTATCCCCTCTTCAGTCTATCATGAATGCTGCTGCCAGACTCATCCACCTTACTAACCGTTCCGTACCCCTCTCTGCCACCCCTCCACTGGCTTCCCATTGCCCAACGGATAAAATTCAAATCATTAACAATAACGTATAAAGCCATTTATAACTCTGCCCCAAATTACATCACCAGTCTTGTCTCCAAAGATCACCCAAACCGTACTCTCCGCTCCTCGCATGACCTCCTACTCTTTAGCTCCCTCGTCTCCTCTTCAGGACTTCTCCAGAGCTTCCCCCATCCTCTGGAACTCTCTACCCCAATTTATCAGACTATTGCCTACTCTGCTCACTTTTAGGTGATCTCTGAAAACCTCTCTCTTCAGGGAAGCCTACCCTGCCCTCAGTTATAATGGAATCTTCTATTCCTCCTATCAGTTCACCCCCCACAGTTATTACCTTTTGCACCATTAGCCCCTCCCTCTTAGATTGTAAGCTCCGAGGAGCAGGGGCCTCCTAACCCTCTTGTATTGAACTGTATTGTTGCTGTATTGTCTCCCGTTATATTGTAAAGCACTGAGCAAACTGTTGGCGATATATAAATCCTGTCTAATAATAATCCATATTTCCTCAGGTGATCCTGAACAAGCCCCCTTATGTCCTTTCCACACAATACACTAGAGCCGGGGTCAGAGGGATCAGCGAGGCACAGCCGGCCTACAACCCCCCGTGTGCACACACCTCACCCTCTCCTCACCTGGTGCACTATCACATCATAGAACTCCTTACGAAAGTCGCTGACAAACATCTCTGCGGCTGGCGGGTCTCTGCCCTCGAAACTGGCGCTAAAGTGTTCTCCCCGCACAGACCAATCACAGAGCCAGCTCTCCCCTGACGTAGCCGAGGGCACCAGCCACTGATAGATACACCCACAATACCAATAGAGGACATCCAGCCAATGATAGTCCTCGGAGGGTCTTCACTCTCACTTCCGGACAAGCCGCAAGTGCTGCCGGTAGTTGCAGTGTGGCTGTGCAAGGCTTTGTGTTCTGCAGCTGCGCCGTGCTGTGTGTACATTTGGCTTCAATAGAGACGCTTCCGGCTGAAGCGAGTGACTCAGTGCGATATTGTTGTGAAGTCCCTAAACCGGCAGCATCATGGTAAGATGTACCGGGGAAAGCACACTGCTGGGGGCCGACAGCAGGCCATAGGATTGCCCAGTCCTCTATGACCCTAGCAGAGGTTTCCTAGGAATGGAACTTTCATGAAGTAGATGTTGTTGGGGGTGATATCAAATAATGGGGTGATAGGGGTCCTGTGTATGAGGGAGACACCTGTGGGGCTGAGCCCTCTGGGGTGTGAGCTGTGCTCTCAGACAGTCCAGGTTTCAGTTTCAGGAGTGACCTGCCATGAAGCGTATTCAGCACTTCCTGCCCCAACTCAACCTGTCCTGCTGACCAAGCTGTCCCATAGATGCAATCCTTCAATGTGTGGTGTGATGTGCCCAGACCTCGTCCACAGGCGCACAGCTAACATTCTGCTTTCTTTCTCTTTCAGTTTTCTTTCAATATGTTTGACCACCCTATACCCAGGGTTTTCCAGAACCGCTTCTCCACTCAGTACCGCTGCTACTCCGTGTCCATGCTGGCTGGGCCAAATGACCGCTCAGATGTGGAGAAAGGGGGGAAGAGTAAGTTGAATTGGATGGACTTTTGTCTTTTTCAGCCAGACTAACCATGTAGCTATGTAAGTCATCAGCAGTGAGTAAAAGTTGGAAGCCCTCTAATCATTCATGCCCAGAGTGCCAATATCCAATCCTGTTTTTGAAAATATGAATTTGGCACTATTATTTTTTCAGTCTAGTGCTCACTGGTATTGGCAATACGGCATCTGTCTGAACTTTCCCCTATGGTGTTTTAGTGCACCTGTGTAGTCTTGTGAACTGCACCACCTCATTATTAAGTGGGCTACTGAGATTGTGCGTCCTGCCTCTTTTGGAGACAATATTTCATTGTCTCCAAGTGATGGGCCCTAATGTGGTCTGATTTGGATCCAAAGTATGTGTGAAAGCCCATAAGGACGCTGTCACCTGTATGTTCCAGCCATAAGCGGCCAGGGCATTCCCTGCCCTCAGCCACACATATACACATGGATTTAAAAAGGCAGTAGAGTGGCTGATATTGAAAGCCCACATTCTGTACGTATGTATACTGTACGTGTGTGTGTATGTATATGTGTATAAATATATATATATATATATATATATATATATAGACATATTGCTCCAGAGGCACTATGATTTATTAAACACTTTCTGCCTATAGCTGGTAGACAGCTACAGCGCTGGCCTTCAGTTCTGGGAGGACATCCTCCCGCGCACCCCCCCAGGGCACACTATGTGAATGTTTTGTGCTTTGAACACAGATCAAGGTAATGGGGCAATCACAGCGGCCCTTTACCATGTGATCAGCTGTGTCCAATCACAGCTGTCGCAATGTAAACATCCTTTGCTGGTTATTGGCTTTTATCAGCTCTGCTTTCCTCACACAGAGACAGTGTGTGAGAAAAAGAGAGCCAATCTGTCAGGAAACATTGAGTACAACATTTGCACTGATAATCAGGTGCTGATCAATAGTGACCTGATTATCAGTGCAGCCTCATTAGTGCCCGTCAGTGCAGCCTCATTAGTGTACATCAGTGAAGAAGAAAAATCACTTATTTGCAAAAGTTCATAACAGAAACTAATAACACATTTTTATTTTCAGAATTTTCAATCTTTTTTTGTTTTATTTAGCAAAAAAAAAACCCCAGTGATTCTTAAAGTGGCAGTAAATGCATTTTCTTTTTAACTTTTACCTAGGGGTAAGCTTATAATAAAGCTTACCTGTAGGTAAAATGAATATCTACTAAACGTGCATAGTTTAGGAGATATTCTCTCTTTTTTTTTAGAGCTGGCGCATGCACTCTGAAGGAACAGCATACCCGTGCCGTACTCCTTCAGACTACTCTGCCGTGCTGTGGGACTCCCGCACACATGCGTGGGAGTGACATCATTGCACGGCCCGACCTGTCAGGCAGCTGCAGCTCGTGAACCAGGAAGGAATATTGAGTGAAGTTGGAAGCCTCTGCAGCAGTGACAGTGCACCGCTGGAGGGCTTAATTTTAAGGTAAGTCCTACATAATGTGCTAGTATGCAATGCATACTAGCACATTATGACATTACCTTGCAGGGGACTTTTTTTTTTATTATTTTCCTGCAGTTTACTACCGCTTTAAATACCACCAAAAAAAGCTCTATTTGTGTGAAAAAATGATAGAAATTTAATTTGAGTATAGTATTGCATGAAGTAAGTAATTGTCATTTCATTGTCAGGAAACAGTGAGCACAGCATTTCCACTGATAATCAGGGCACAAATGATCAATTCTGCCTCATCAGTGCCCATCAATGCAGCCATCATCAGTGCCCATCAATGCAGCATCATCAGTGCCCATCAGTGGTAGAAGAAAAATTACTTATTTGCCAAAGTTTTTAACAGAAACTAATAACATATTTTTTTCAGAATTTCCTGTCTTTTGTTGTTTGGCAAAAAAATATCCCCAGTGGTGACTAAATACCACCAAAAGAAAGCTCTATTTGTGTGAAAAAAAATTATAAAAATTAATGTGAGTACAGTATTGCATGACTAAGTAATTGTCATTCAAAATGTGACAGCACTGAAAGCTGAAAATTGCCCTGGGCATGAAGGGGGTTAAAGTGTTCAGTATTAAAGTGGTTAAAGAAGATCTGCTTTTCTGCCTCCTCTTCCCCCCTCTTCACTTTTGGATCCTTTTTTGGGGAAGGGGGGGGGGGAGATGGCGAGTACATGGTTTTGACAGGTACCTGCTCCCAATTCCGGTCGGATCCCCTAGGGTGGCGAAGAACCAGCCTGGGTGAGGACAGCGCTGGATCATTTAACAGGCAAATGTCCTTTTATTAAAAGTAAACCGCTACAGCTTTTGTAGCTGAAAACATTTATTTTATTTCCTTTTTTTTCGGAGGGGAGACTGAAGAATCTCTTTAAGGTGCTCACAGATGACAGTAAAATTAATTTTGCAGGGTTTATGAACAAACCAATAAAAGCCATGCATAAATAATATTTCATAAAATTGATTTTATCCCTTTATGCAATCCCTGACTTTACATGGGGCACTGCTATATTCCATATACAGATGTTCCTCGGTTTAAGAATTTAATGCGTTCTCCAGGACGCTTCGTATTGCGAAAAATTCATAAACCGAAATGCAGTTTCCCATAGGAATGCATTGAAAACCAATTAATCCGTTCCGAAGGTCAGAAAAAACTTTTAAAAAAAAGTTGCTGTCACTATAGCTCAGTGCTGGTTTTTAAATGTAATTACTGGATTTTTTTTTTTTCTTCACTGTAGCTCAGAGAATCAGCTGTCACTTTCCCCCCAGCTAAAAGAAAGAAAGTTTCCTTTCCGTTTATTTCCCCCAAGTTAAAAGAAGCAATGTTTACTTTTAGTAATTGCATTTAAAAATCGGCACCAACATACACTTCGTATTACGAAAAAAATTTGTAAGCCGAGGCATTTTTTTTCAATGGATTTCATTCATAAACTGAAAATTATGTTAACTGAGGTGTTCGTAAAGCAAGGTACACCTGTATGTCATATCACATTGAATCAGTTCATGTATCACAGCATCCATTGTATTTGGGGTCCCCACATCCACACATGTATGTAAGGTGCACACAGATGACAGACTAAAATTAATTTTACAAATTTTATTAAACCAGTAAAAACCATGCATAAATAACATTGATTTTATCCCTCTGTGATATCCTTGACTTCATAAGAGTCACCCCTATATTCCATATATATTCAATCTCATTAGGGATCCCATATAACATACGGTGTTGGTATGCAAAGAGGTCTAGTTTTTAATTTACATTTTTTTGTTTAACATTTTTCAGTTAACAATAGTGTAGGTATTATTCTTTTGGTTTGTACAGACTTAGTGGTTATTAAAAGGAGCAGGTTTCACTTATGTTTCTTAGGAGGTTTTTTTTTGCCTGTTTTCAGCATTAATTAAATAAGTACATTTTGTGTCAAATTGCTTCACAGGTAGAAGAATTTCAGATTTATGATTTTAAGTGTAACTTTTATCTTTTTCAGTTATAATGCCTCCATCTGCATTGGATCAGCTAAGTAAGTATACATGTTTTACTTTTGTGTTACTATTCAAAACCGCTTTTTCTTCTGGAGTTTGTAAAAGAACCATTTTTTTATGTTACTAATGACTAGTAATCGGAAACTCTGCTCATATGTGATCTGATTTGTCTACAGGCAGATTAAACATCACATACCCAATGCTTTTCAAGTTAACAAATAAGAATTCAGACAGAATGACACATTGTGGTGTTCTTGAGTTTGTAGCAGATGAAGGGATTTGCTACCTCCCGCACTGGGTAAGTAGAGATTACAAATTTATTTGAAGTATCTTTATAAAGACACATTTTACAGCAACCAGTTTCAGGACGAATTACATACTTATATAGCTATAGGCATGTAAAGTTTGGTATATAGTTAAGCCACCCATTGTGGATTCCTTGCATCTGCTTAGAGGTGTCCAAATTTTGGACCCAATTGAGCCAAGATGCTGAATACTAATGAGTGCTCAGCGAAGCATTTGTTTTGATCTGCGCCTATCTTCCGGTAATGCTAACTGCAGTGTTTAGGTTATAGGAGATTCTACAGACATATTGGCATTTTTTTCTCTTTGAAGGGCCATTTTACCTACTGAGGAGTACTTGACAGCTGCATACAATTCAGCTTGGAGCAGTATGGGGGCTATATGCACAAGGGTTACATATTTTGTACTAAATAAGGCTGAATTAATCTTAGGCGCAAAATAGTCAGTGCCAACCTCTTCTGTTGTAAATGGAAGCAAATGTTTATATTGCTCCTTTAAATTTCTACTGGCTCCTAAATTCAACCTTCTAAATTTAACACCCTACCTAGCTAAAATTACATTTCAAATCTCTAATAACTGTCCCTGTATAAAAATTAAAAAACATAGTCACACTAGTCCATAGAGTCCAGCATTGTTTTCCTTGCAGTTCTCGTTTACTGATCTGCTTCTGCAATGGTATATTGAAACAAGATTAAATGAGACACGCCAGGGTCCTCTTCCGGGACCTGTGACGTGCCTGTGCATGCTCAGCATCCCCTGCACATCCACAGACAAGCCGCAGGTCTCTGCGAGGTCCCATAAATTGCAGAGATGCGTGGCATATCTGTGCATGCATGGGATCTGCTGAAATACTGCAACACTTAGATATCCCAGGAGGCATTGGGTGGTTGGATATATGTCATCTTTGCCTAGGCAAGGCGTAGGAGGCAGAAGGGAAGAAATGCTTTTCGTGGAAGGTGCACTTTATTCTTCAGCCATGATACTTTATAAAACTGCCTTATTTTTCTGTTTTTATTACAACAAGAAGAATTAAAATAATTATAGTGGATACAGTAAATTCTTGATAATAATGATGGACAGCTTGTATACGTCCTGGTCCTTTTGACATTATGTGAATTTTGAAGCCATCATTTGTGCTTTTAGTTGCTTGCTAGAAGACAGTGAGGTCGGGTTTGTGTTCTGCTTATGAGTGCAAGCCAGTAAAACAGAATATTTTCCCCATTTGGAGACTAGGAGCAGGCATGATTCAGGAGCTGTGGCATATTAGAAACAGACTGAGATCCATGTAAGCGCTAAAACTGTTTACTTCACATGTAAGGTACAGCTTGATCATGAAGAATTTAGTATAATTACTTAATTTGAGCCTCTCACTTTAACAAAAGTACGACTAACCTTAGCATAAATATTCAGTTTTTGTGTGTTTTCCGTGTGCCACTTTTGATACATGATGCTTCTTAGTTTCAGTAGGAAACACATTCATGTTAATGTACAAAAAATGTAATTAAAAACTATCTTTTTTGCATTCACTACTGCATGATTAATGTGAGCTGAATGAAGCTAATAGGGTACATACCAGAAAATAAATATGACACATCAACTTCACAGAAAATACATAATGGTAAATAGAAAATGTACAGTGTCAAGGACTGATAAATAGATGGTTTACACACGTCCATTTTAGTTTTGAGCAGCCTTTTTGATGATCTTCCCACTTCTGCCAGCTAGTAAGATCACTCTGCTACTTTCTGGTTTAGCATGACTGCTTCCTAGGTGACCTCCCTGCTTACTGAATAGAGGTGATCATGCTGATTCACTATCCAATGACGAGCCTAAAACCAGAGAGATGGAATAGTAAACTGAATTGCTTAACCAGGAAGATGAATTGTTTGATCAGAACCCTGTCTGGCTGGGCAATGTAGAAATTAGTGTAAATCACAAGACTGACTGTGCAGAATTACAAATCCTTTTTCAAGCAGTAACCGTATCTGCGTTTCAACTGTGTAATTTAGTTGTATGCGTAGTGTTTCACTGTTATGGTGTGTGTGTGTATACACTTAAGGGTAATCTGCCAAGCAAGAAATATGGAAGCTAACATTACTGACCTGCTCCTGAAAATGATTTGTTGGGGTGATAGTATTACAACTATTTGTTGCCCGATCTTATTGAGATTTTCAGGCAGCAGTTGAAGCAGCTATAGCATAGCATTATGGCATTTTGATATAGTTACAGTCTTTATGCAATGACATCTGTCATTTTATCTGATCAACATCTGATCACAGTTGGTTAAATATTAAGCAGCATTAGGATTAATGTCATTCACCACATCTAGCTGGTGCTAATAACTGTGTATTGACATGTCTTCGTACAAAGCACACCGTGCTGTTTGGCATTTTGTTCACATAAAAAACCCAATGATTAAAGTAAATGCAACTGTATTTATTTGCTTACCTTTCAGATGATGCAGAATTTACTATTAGAAGAGGGAGGTCTGGTACAAGTGGAAAGTGTCAATCTTCAGGTGGCCACATACTCTAAATTCCAGCCACAAAGTCCTGATTTCCTCGATATCACAAACCCCAAAGCTGTGTATCCTTTTACTATAACCACATGGGTTGCAAGATTGTCATAATAATGCATTGCATGTGAGCTACCTACTACTAAAAAGCATTTTTGTAAAAACAGATCAATTCAGATATATTATATGCATGATTTTATGTAAGGTTTTGTACAACAAATGTTTCTCAGCTGCTTCTGGCTCCTACCCTCCCAGCAATGCCTCCTGCTGTAGAGTATTGTTGTAGCTGAATGATCATGATATAGAGCATCCTTTCTCAACACAGAGGAACCCTTGAAATAACTTTCTGGTCTCAGGGAATCCCTGCTAAAAAAATTAATATATCTACAGCTCCTGATACATTAATGTGATGGTCAGTGGGAAGAATGCTCCTTAAACTTGTGGTCTTTGAAAAAGTTACTCTCTTACAGATCGCAAAAAAGATCACTGGTGTCAGTGGGAACTTATCTAAGAGGCAGAAATCACTAATAGTTCAAGGAACCCCTAGCAATCTTTGAAGGAACGCTAATTGAGAAACCCTGGTATAGCGCATCATATCTGAATGCTAATGCAGCTCTAGTACTGCCTGAACCTTTTTTATATGCTGCTTGGATTTGCTGACATGAAAGTCCTTTGTTCAAAATTCCAAGAATATATGTGCAAAAGTTCAAATCCATGCACATACAGTGGATATAAAAAGTCTACACACCCCTGTTAAAATGTTTGGTTTCTGTGATGTAAAAAAAAATGAGACAAAGATAAATCATTTCAGAACTTTTTCCACTTTTAATGTGACCTATAAACTGTACAACTCAATTGAAAAACAAACTGAAATCTTTTTTTTGGGGGGGAGTAAACAAAAAAATTAAAATAATGTGGTGCAAACCCTCTTATAACTGAGTTGTACAGTTTATAGGTTACATTAAAGGTGGAAAAAGTTCTGAAATTATTTCTCTCATTTTTTTACATCACAGAAACCTGGCATTTTAACAGGGGTGTGTAGACTTTTTATATCCACTGTATATGCTTGGAATTTTGTAATTTTTGCACAAAGGACTTTCATGTTTATTTAGAAGGACTGATTTATTGCATTAATATTTCATTGCTATTGTTTCCACTTTTTCCCAAAATAGTATATCCCTAGTGATTTGAATGCTTCAGTGATACTTAGTTTTATTAATAATCTATGATCATTTTTGAGTGCTGCAGATACTTATTTTTATTTACTTTTTTCAAGTTTGTGATTATAGGTAAGGGCAAAGTTTTTGATTATATAGTTCTCTGTGATGTACCTTGACTTCATGTTAAGATTGGAGAATGCTCTGAGAAATTTTGCCTGTCTTACGACTGGAGATGTAATCGCTATAAATTACAATGAGAAGGTAGTAATCCACTGACATCTGTGGAATGTATACACACAATCTTGCATGAATGGAATGGATGAATAGAAATTCCTTTATCCTATATCTTAGCAAAGAACAATGTGCAGTAAGCAATCGGGATCTGCCAATATAGTTACTGAGCTAAGACTAGATAGTATTTGTTACTGTCCTGTCTGTGCTGCTTTACCGAGTAAAGGCTACCATACATGGCCCAATCGATTGATTCCAACATCCACGCTAACAGCATTGCTGGAGAAATCTCCACTGCTGGATATTGTATTCAGGCACCTGTGTCTGTCTGTCTGTTCAGCCAATAATTTTCCTACCAGATCAGTTAATTATAAAAAAGACTTTTTACAGTTTGAGCCATCTGTGGGGGCTTTTACTCTAAAAAGAGGGTTTTTATGAGCATTGCTTGGTAAATAAAAAAAGATTTTATATGTAGCTGGGAAGCTGTATTTTTCAATTTTATGACTGAATTTACCACAGATACTTTAGAAAGGATCCGTTTGCCCTAATCTGTTATGATGAAAATTGTGGTATATAGACATGTTTCAGTGTCTGTATATCATTGAGCATAGCAGTTCACAGTGGAAGGCCTGATTTGTCAAACAAAATAGATGGTATTTGGGCCTAAAATGCAGACATGTTTTATTTGCAGTGGGAGAGTGAACTGTTACTTGACTTGTTTTCAGGGCAGCTCCTTGATTTTGCTTTGCTTTAGATTTCATAATTTAGCTTCACAATCTAGACATCACCCATATGGAGGAAAAATATATCTGAAATATATTTTAAAAATATATTGCCAAATATTTGAAATGCTACAATTTTGGCCATATTCAATATATTTAAATAAATTATTTATATATATATATATATATATATATATATATATATATATATATATATATATATATAAAAAATCTAGATTTGTATTTTTAAAGACATACAGTATATTTGAAATGCATTTTTAAAAATATTTTTCATATATTTTGTAATAACGCATTTCAACATGCTATATATATATATATATATATATATATATATATTTTTTTTTTTTTTTTCTGCTCCACTAAAAAAGTTAAACTGACTTATTTGCTAGCCCTTTAACCTTTGTGATTTCAATCAAGCATTTGTTGACCCTGCTGATGTTTTTTTCCTCAGTAACTTCAGCCAAGACTCCTTGCTATGATGCTGCTTAAGCTGGCCTCTAGCAGCTGTCTGGATTGGCAGCTATTCAGCACTGGCTGTGGAGACTGTACCTGGACCTCACTGGACTAGACATGTGGTCTACCTTGAGATGTGTTCTTTAGGCATCGGGCTCTGCAATTGGTGCTTTCCAGCATGTACTATGTTAGTTAGCTGCAGAGAGCTTTCCGGGTCCAGAGCTGTGACACCACCCCAGGTGTGACCCTGTCTCTGAAGACTCGGTGAGTAAAGCTGGGTACACACTACGAGAAAATCATAAGAAAAATTCCGTATGAGGAACGAGCATTCGATTTTCGAATAGTTTGTACACCACTTTCGACATTCAATTCAGACCTTCCAAAATTTCAGAAGAAACAAACTCCAAACTTTTTCTCGTACGTGAACAGAACGAACGATTTATGTGTAATATGTACTGTTTTCGTAGAAGAAGAAACAAACAGCAATCATCTACGCTATAACATTTCTACGTCAATCCAATAAACGCCTTTTGTCATTCAAGGATTTACATACAATTAGCACCATTGCAACATTGAGAAAAATGGTGAAACAAGATCAGTTGGGCTGAAGCACTGGGAGCTACCTCACTGCAGTGGGGGTTAGCTCCTTCATCTGCCAAGGCCTTCCCACTACAACCACTGTTTAAGTCATTCTTCTGTGAGAACTGGAAACACTCAGAAGGGTTCTGGCCCCTTCCCGACAGTGTATCACAGTTCTTTGCTTTTGAGAGGGAGCTCATAAGTCTGTGATCTCTTCCCACCGTAGATGCATGCATCGGGATCAGGCTAGAGGTGCTTTCACCATTTAGGATTTTGCTGACAGACTGGTTAACTCCCTCCCCCATATCCTAGTTTGAGTTGACTGGAGTGGCTCTCTGTCTAGTTTTTGAAGTGACCCTAATCTGATGAGCCTTGTCAGAATGGATATACTTCTTTAAGGGGGATTCCCTCCATCTTTACAGAATGCCCTCAGGTGACTGGGCAATTGGAATGACAGCCTGAAACTTTGTGCCTACGTCATGGTGGCTTGTTACGAGCATAAAAACGTATGCCTTTCATAGCGACGATAGCCATACAAACACACAGGGCACTATTGCTATGTGCTTCGGGTGCCAGTGATATGTCAAAGGAACATCTGACTTGGTTGCTCATGGAGGAATGTTGTTTCATTGAACCTACTCTAGATTTAGTCATTAGCAATGCCACCAATAGCTGGGACATGATCCTGCATCAAAGCAAGAGGTCTGGTGTTCAGTGGAAGGGTCAGAAGAACCCCAACTTACTCCATCTTCTGCAGTTGTACGTAGACATTTAGATCCTGCTTCTCACTCATATCAGAGGGCTAGCAGCTAGAAGTCTTCCAGCTGGACAGTAGCCTCTTGTTTAGCTGTCCCTGATCAGTCTTTTGATGGGGGCTGTTCCTAAGGGTGATTTTTTTTGCCCAGTACTATTCCTGGCAGTCTGGGACCTCAGGTTCCTCCACTGATAAGAACTTAGCTTCAAGAGTGGTGCTCCCCCTTCCCCCACTCTTCAAAGGGGGGTGGGGTCTATCTTTAGACACCTTCTCCCTGTTAAGTCCAAATCTTTCTGCTGGGCCTCGCTTGGGAATGGCCCCTCTTGAGTCTAACACTGGTTATTTTGGTTCACCATAGGCCAATGTGATTTGGCTCTCACTAAGGAGGTCTCCTTCTGGTAGAACTTTGCTCTCTTTCTTATCTATCAAGTAAATCACTTCTTTCTCAATCTCCATTTAGGGCTTGTGGGGTGTCTTGGGATTGCCGTGCTACCATGGTATTCTTTTCTCTTTTGGCTCTCTCACCTTTATCCTCTGCTTCAGTGTCGGGGTGTCTGGCCTCAAGGAAAGACATCCAGATGATGCCTTTGGGTCAAGAAGTCCCAGGCACTACTTTGGAATTTTTGACTGGAGACAGGATGGTACTTTCCTGTTTTCCTGCAAATGCTTCTCTGTCTGGTGTGTCTCCACACCCAGGGCTTTCATTTAGTTCACTTAACTGGACTGTTCCTGCCTTATATGAAGAACCTTCTGTAAGTCATTGTACTGACCAGACCATTGGACATCTCCTAAGTTCTATCTTCACCTCTGGAAAGGTTTTGGAATTCTCCCATGGGCAGTGCTGAGGGTATCCTGATGACCACACTGATCCTCATTGTGACAAGTCTTTGCCTACTGGACCTCATTATTTGGTGACATCAAGATGTGAGGGTTCAGCACGTGTGTGTCCTTTTGCTGTCAATCGCTGGATGGCCCTGACCTCCCCTGGACTGTCTGCAGATGTAAAATTAAAGATCCTTCTGCAATTACCTTTTGTAGGGGATGATGCTATTCCGGAGTTCTCTGTATAACCTAATCATCAGGAATTGGGTACTGCGTCTGGAGCGGTTTCATAGTCCTCTTAGGAGTAGAGTGTTTTGCCACCTGTTATTTTGGTGTATTTCTGATTGGGTGTCTCATTCCAGCTGAGCACTGCTAAAGATTCCAACAACCCAAAGGTCAATAGTTTGAGATGGAATTTCTCACTATAATCCAAACAGTGATAATGACCTTGAAACTGACAAATATTCTTTCTCACATAAATATTGGCTCATTTTTACATAGATATTATTTAACAAGAACCTGACCTGGCTTAAAAAAAAGTGTTTGGTAAAATGCTAAAGTGCAGGCACACTGTGGCATCTGGAAGACCTTATGCCCATTCCTGTTTCCTGGTGTCTATGACATTTCTCCAGGTGATGAAGCACCCTCTATCCTAGTACTACTTTCTGCTTAATCTTGATTTGGAGAGAAGCCAAAGGCATGTGTGCAGCCAGGGCTGAGTATCTGAGGGCTGAAACTGGGTTAAAAGACTAACCCAGTTTCTTTCTGGCATCTTTGGAAGTCTATACTTAAGCACTTTTCACCATACAAACATTTTTGCCATTTTAGGTCAGGTTATAATCTGTAAAGTAATCTAATAATAAAAAAAAATACCCATACACATTTTCATTATATTATTATATTGCTGAAATGCAGCAGTAGAAATTGATTAAGATATGAAGTTGTCTTTTCAGTAGTGTCGTGGTACCTATGTAAAATTCAGGGAAAATTTGATTTTTTTTTTTTTTTTTCCCACATTTTTAGGGTGGACCTTTTTGTAATTTTAGACAAAATGTACGCATTGTATCCTATTTCTGTGTCTGTTTCTAACAAAAAAAAAAAATGGTTCTGCTTTCAGATTTATGAACTTCGGGTCATGGAAACAAAACCAGACAAAGCAGTATCCATTATTGAGTGTGACATGAATGTAAGTTTAAGATTTAGTAAAAATAATCTTTACAGATAACATTGTTATATGCCCTAAAATAGACCTGGGAACACTTAGTACATGAAGAATATCAACTGCAGGGCTTTAACCACTAGCCTACAGGGCACTGTCACCCCCTTCCTGCCCAGGCCAATTTCCAGCTTTCAGCGCTGTTGCACTTTGAATGACAATTGCGCGGTCATGCAACACTGTACCCATATGAAATTTTTATCATTTTTTTGTGACAGAGCTTTATTTTGGTGGTATTTAATCACCTCTGTTTTTTTTTTTTTTTTTTTTTTTTTCTTGTCAGAATGGATAAAAAAACCACTGAAAATTTTGAAAAAAAAAAGTTTTTTCTTAGTTTTTGTTATAATATTTTGTAAATAAGTGATTTTTCTCCTTCACTGATGTGCGCTAATGAGGCGGCACTGTTAGGCTGCACTGATGGACACTGATAGGTGGCACTGGTACTGCACTGGGCATTGACAGGCAGCACTGATAGGCGGCACTGACAGGCACTGATAGGCGGCACTGACGGGCACTGATAGGCGGCACTGATAGGCGGCACTGACGGGCACTGACTGGCATTGATAGGTGACACTGAAAGGCAGCTCAGATGGGCACTGATATGTGGCACTGGCAGGTGGCATGAATGAGCACTGAGAGCTGGCACTGATGGACACTGACAGGTGGCGCTGCTGGGGCTACACAGATCATCGGGGCACACTGATCATCTGTGCTCTGATGATCAGTGTACATGTCCCCTCCGAGGAATGCCGATTACCGGCTCTCCTCTCGAGCTGTCAGCGTGACAGCTCGTGAGGAGAGAAATGCCGATAACCGGCATTTCCCTATTTACATGCGATCAGCTGTGATTGGACACAGCCGATCACATGACTGAGCCGACATCTTCGTCTCTTTCCGTGGATCGGTGATCCACTGTGTCCGAGGGACACAGCACACCGCCGATCGCCGTGCTGCGCACTCCAGGAGCCACGCATGAGCGGTTAGAATGGGAGGACGTCATATGACGTCCTCCCAGAACAAGAGAACCACCTTGCATCCGTCATATTACTATATGGTGGGCAGGAGGCGGTTAAGCTAGACAGGCCGCTAAATACACCATTGAAATATACATGAACTGTTAAACTTTGTTCAAATTCAGATACTTTTGCTGGTTGCATGTAATAATACATTCAGAAGATAATACGCTTCGCACATAAATCTTCAATAACCTGCAAGTACCAAGAAGGGGGCTACAGACTCTTAACTAGGTGGTAGAGGACCCCAGTGATCCTCCAACATATGTTCCCACAAACTTCTAATGAATGCTGACACTGTTTGGAGTCAGAAGGCACTTTATTGCATGTTTACTAGGAATGTCCAAAACATAGGGACTTCTGGGACATGTTAGAATGAACAATTAAAACTCCTACAAATGTGTTTCTTAAACGAAATCCTGCAGCCTACTTATTACATGTAACCCTGTTATCTATCAATACAAAAACTCTGCTGAAACACCTCCTTATAGTGGTTCTAAAGCCTTAAGCTTTTTTTTTACCTTAATGCATTGTATGCATTAAGGTAAAATAAAAACCTTCTGTTGCGATCTGAGGATCCCCCCCAGCTCCTTTAAACTTGCAGGAGCCTGATCTCGATCCAGCGAGGTGCACAACAGCAGCAGCTCTCCTGGCTTTGTCCCTTTTCACTGGGCAGATTGATTTATTGGATCCCACTCCTGTCAATCAAATCTTATGACGAGAGAGCAAGCCTGCACATGTGCCATCATAGGAAGCAGCTTTCTATGGTGGTACATAAAGAAGAAGAGCCGAGAGCGCCAGCGGGAAACCTGAGAAGAGATGGATGGGGGTTGCTCTATGCAAAACCATTGCACAGAGCAGGCAAGTATAACGTTTGTTATTTAAATTTAAAAAGAAAATTGGAAGCTTTAATATCACTTTATTGCAGCAAAAGCCTGCGCATCAGCACCGCAAAAACAAACATTGCCCCCTACAAAATCACACTGGTTTGCCAGAATTGAAGAAATCCAGGAAATTGATTAGTTAGTCTCTCTTTTGTACTGATGCTTCTAATGCACATTGTCAGAATCTCAGTGTACGGTGAAATCAGAGTAAGTAATTTCAGTGCAGGAAAGAAGCCTGTACAACTGTGCAAGACTAATTCAGCTAAGGCGTAATTCAGCTTTAAAAAAATCTTTGCATGTTGTATCTCAACTGTATTCATTGTATGGCCAGTTCACATCACAAAAGCGCACTCCAGATCCATTTTGGATGTATTTCTGCATGCACATTTTTACGTGTTTTATGTGCATTTGTGATGCATTTCAGATGCTTTTCTTCTTTTTCCCAATTTTTTTTTCTTACTGTACTGGGGTTCAGTGTGTTTTATGATGTGTTCCGGTGCATTTTTGATGTGTTTCCAGATGCATTTCAGATGCTTTTTTCCTGTTTTTTGTTTTTTTTTTTTCCTTCACTGTTCAGTGTGTTTTTGATGCGTTCCAGTGCATTTTTTATGCATTTTACCACATTCCAGTTTTACAATCCAATGCAGGAAAAATGCAGCATGTTTTTTTTTTTTTTTTTTTTTTTTTTTTTTTTCTGGAATGCCCTGGAACTGGCGGCATTGGTGTGAACTATGCCATTGGAAACCATATAACCTACTTTCCATACATTTTTGATGCAGAAAAAAATGCTCTGGACTGTATGTGGTTTGACCTGGTCCTTATTGTATCTCTTATGTGTGCTGTTTTTCTGCTAAACTATTTGGAGCTATTTTGTTAGAATGATCTCTCCTACATTGCTGTAGCATGGATTTTATATTCTATGGTCAGTGATGCAGTTAAGTGGTGTTACATGAATAGAAAACTAAATTCACATGTTGATGCAATGAGTGATCTTGATTTTTTTTTTTTTTAATGTAAATACATTTACAACCAATATATTTTTATTTCAGGTGGATTTTGATGCTCCGCTGGGTTACAAGGAGCCAGAAAGGCAAACACAACAGGAAGAGCCAACTGTACGGTTAAAATTTTCCAGTAAATTGAGATTGCCCTAGATACAGAATACATGTTAAATCAAAAGAAGCTAAAGATGTAACTGTGAATGCCTTGTATCTTTGCAATCGTTTGTTTATAAAACCCCCATATTCTTGATTAATTGGATAAAGAAAAACCTAGCAACAATTTCAGCCTCTCAACCCCAGCAGTTTTGGTTCAGAGGCAAAGTTTTGTCATAGAATGAGCAACATACAGTTGTGTTCAAAATAATAGCAGTCAGACATCACTAACCTGATCAATCACTGTTTTTGATAGAAATGATATTTCTACATGGCAAATAATTTACTAGCAGGTGTAGTAGAGTAATAGAAATCCAACAGACCCAACAGTCATGACATGCATGCTGCTGATTCTGTGTAATTGAATCACTAATTGAAAGGGGCATGTTCAAAATAATAGCTGTGTGGAGTTCTATTAGTGAGGTCATTCATTTTTTGAAAAAAAGGTGGCAATTATTGCCCCTATTTCAGGAAGGAAGGCAGCAAATGTTGTACATGCTGGTTACAGTGCATTTCTCTCTGAAATTCTGAGGAAAATGGGTCTTTCCAGACATTGTTCAGAAGAACAGCGTACCTTGATTAAAAAGTTGATCGGAGAGGGGAAAAACATATAAAGAAGTGCAGAAAACGATAGGCTGCTCAGCTAAAATGATCACAAATGCTTTAAAATGGCAACCAAAACCTGAAAGACGTGGAAGAAAGCGAAAAAAAAACTACCATTCGAATGGATAGAAGAATAGCCAAAATGGCAAGGACTCAGCCAACAATCAGCTCCAGGAAGATCAAAGAAGGTCTAAAGTTACCTGTGAGTACTGTTACAATTAGAAGACGCCTATGTGAAGCCAAGCTATCTGCAAGAAGCCCCCGCAAAGTCCCACTGTTGAAAAAAAGACGTGCTGAAGAGGTTACAATTTGCCAAAGAGCACATTGACTGGCCTAAAGAGAAATGGCGCAACATTTTGTGGACTGATGAAAGTAAGATTGTTCTTTTTGGGTCTAGTGGCCGGAGACAGTTTGTCAGACGACCGCCAAACACTGAATTCAAGCCACAGTACACTGTGAAGACAGTGAAGCATGGCTGCGCAAGCATCACGAAATGGGGATGTTTCTCATACTACGGTGTTGGGCCTATTTATCGCATACCAGGGATCATGGATCAGTTTGAATACATCAGAATACTTGAAGAGGTCATGCTGCCTTATGCTGAAGAGGAAATGCCCTTGAAATGGGTGTTCCAACAAGACAACGACCCCAAACACACCAGTAAACGTGCAACATCTTGGTTCCAGACCAACAAGATTGACGTTATGGAGTGGGCAGCCCAATCCCCGGATCTTAATCCAATAGAAAACTTGTGGGGTGACATCAAAAATGCAGTTTCTGAGGCAAAACCAAGAAATAGAGAAGAACTGTGGAATGTAGTCCAATCATCCTGGGCTGGAATACCTGTTCACAGGTGCCAGAAGTTGGTTGACTCCATGCAACACAGATGTACAGCAGTTCTCAGAAACAGTGCTTGTACAACTAAATATTCATTAAGTGATTCAAAGGAAAGCAAAATCTTCAAACATTTTTCAGTTTATATAGTGAATGTTTCGGTTTGTAAAGAAGAATACAAACACTGCTATTTTTTGAACAGTCTAATATTCAGTCTAATATTCACTTTTCTTCAATTTTTTTTAGAGGATGTTAAATCTAAATTATGATTCGGCACTTATATTGATGGCAAGCTTGCAAAATATTTGGTTTTTATGATTAGTCATAATTAATATTAATATGTGTAAGTGGTCTTTGACAAATGGTAGTATTTACTATTCTTCAATTATAGCTGAGACCAAAAGATATACAAGTTAAGCTGAAATAGTATATACCAGTTGAAGGTTGAGTATGCTATATTTAGGCATAAAAGTATTTGGTAGTTATGTCAAGGTTATTAGAAGGGACTTACTAGTACAGTGCGTATTTTAATGGTATCTGTGTATATTTAGTATACGTTTCTAACATTGATACATTTACGTCATTAGCTTATAATATTGGTACATCAGCATACATATGTTCCTGTCCATCAAACATCATATGTATAGCATCTTTTCCTTATATGAAATGGCTTTGCTAAGCAGTAATACTTTCCATAGAAGGTATTAAGATCACTAACTATGACGTACATTTGCCTCTTAAAAGTCCATGAGACGACGGACATGGGACACTCACTCACACACTCACTCACACACACTCTCTCACACACACACACGTTATATGACTCTTGCATACACACGTCTGAGAAGCTGCAACAGGTGCATACTGAGATCACTTCCAGCTACAATTTAGTCACATCCGGCTTCTCCTCCTTCACAAAGTCATTGAGAAGGACAGCATGGAGTATCGCACATGGCAAGGACAGAACAGCCATGACAGATAATGGTGACTTTTTCTTTGAACTTTCGCTTGTCATTTTTACAATAGTTTTATCTACATGGAACTGTTCATTATACGCTTTACATTGTTTATTTGACACCATTGTGTGATAGAATAAAATCACACTTCATTTTTTATTTCAATGGCTCTTTCATTCATAATCGCCTCAAGACACTAGAAGCAGTATTATATGTGTCTAAAAATCCAACAGAGGAACAACACAAATTTGATATATTTTTCTTCATGTTTTGATTTGGAATAGAATGTGTAGTGTTCCCAATGCATTTGTGTGTATGGAAATAAAAGCTATTAGAAGGATTTTGAGCTTTATTCACTTTTTTCAACACACTGCTAATATTTTGATCACAACTATACCTCCTGACCTTTTACAGAGTCAGTTGGATTAGTTTCATAGATCAAAATATAGAGGTGTCTGCACATACCCGCCACAACTCCTACATCCTTCTGCCACACCTAAATCTACCCCCTGCACATTCCTGTTGGCCAATTCACTTTCCCATCATAGTAATGAACCAATAAAAATGTGTGGTAGCTGGGCTTAGAGACAAGCGTTTAAAATTGTGTCAGACGTGACAGAAACTGTGTTCCTTATAAAGTGGACAGTGTTTTTACTATGGCCTAGGCAAATGACCTTACTATTTGTTATTCCATTCTAATATGTCACTTTTCTGATTTTTATTCTTCATAGTGCTATCAACAATAACAGCAACATAACTAAGAGATTAAAACAAACTGAATCCATACAGTACTTTAGCAAAATTCAAACAGATTGCATAAGTAGCATTTCCAACGTCTGTTTCAGCTACCCTCTCTTATAAACTGATCATGTTAGTTAGACGTGACCTGTTATTCAAATTATGTGTAACATTTACAAACTTGAAGATCATTCCGATTAATAGGAGTAGACTTGAAATTTATGAAATACAAAGTGGAAATGAATATATAATTTTACATGTTGACCATAGATACAATTTAATGTGTAAATCTGTGAAGCTGTGTTTTATATGGTCTTTCATTTTCTCCTAGGACATTGAGCCTGATCACAGCGAGTATGTAGCAGATGTAGGGTTCAGGGTGAGTCTTCTGTGGTTGTCATTAAAGTGATGAATTGGGAACATAGCTTAAAAGGTTTTTCCTTTTCAACCTGTATGTAGAAAATCCTTCTAAGCATGGGCTGAAGCAGAATGGTAGGGGCACTCCTGCTAGGATGTCAGACTGTCAGCCTTCTTCTGTACTGTATGCCATTAGAGCATATAGAGCAGTTCTGACTTTATGGAATAAATCAGGTTTGGCTTTGGAATTCCATTGGTTGTGTTAAGTGGAAAAAGGCTAAGTGGTTCTTTGCAATTTGGTTAATTCTACATTCTCTGCTATCTACTATACTGAATGTTTAACATAATATACACTGATGTGTATGGTTGGCATTCAGGCTACATATTAAAGGCCATGCAAGTTTGTTATATGGCAGGAAACCAAGACTGTCACAGAATTAATTGTGGTCTCAGAGAATAGTTTTTGTGGTAAGCCTTATGGCTTAGGAGACACCGATAGACCCAAAGATTGATCACACCGAAAATAAGATTTTTTTTAGGCACACAACTGCATGAAAAACTTTTTCACTTTTAGATGGTGTGTTTCTTGTAAGTATAAACAGAACTTCACAACTGGCTTAAAGTAGAATTAACTGAGATGTGTTTGCTATTTATTTGTTATTAGAAGAATGCTTTATAATATGTCGAAGTTCATACATTGTTTTTTTATTGTAAACTGAAATACTCTGAAATAATGTCCAGCAGGTTTTCTACATAACTCGAATAAGTAGAGTTGTAGACTGGAAACATTATGTGCATATAAATTATGCTTGAAGAAGTGTGATAGCTTTTACTACCATGATCCTCTAACAGCCGAACTTCTTCCTGCTTTCTTGCAACATTAGGGAGGTTTAGAGCAGCGTTTTTCAACCACTGTGCCGCGGCACACTAGTGTGCCGTGAGATATTGTCTGGTGTGCCGTGGGAAAAACTGCAATTTCATCCGTAACATAGACCTTTTAATCCGTCCCACGGAGCGTGATACTGTCAGGATGATCTGTCCCCCTCGACGTATCTGCGCATGTGCCGGAGATCGCCGATCGGCTGCTAATGCCTGAAACTGGCACATGCGCAGATACGTCGAGGGGGACAGATCCCCATAGGAGACAGATTTTCATGCTACACCGGAACGGCGCGGGAAGACGGCGAGAGGAACGCGCGGAGCAAAGGTAAGTGAATTGACACAGGGGGGGCTTGGGGACTTAATATGGGGGATGAATTAATATGGGGGATGAATTACTATGGGGGATGAATTACTATGGGGGATGAATTACTATATGGGGGATGAATTACTATGGGGGATGAATTACTATATGGGGGATGAATTACTATATGGGGGATGAATTACTATATGGGGGATGAATTACTATATGGGGGATGAATTACTATATGGGGGATGAATTACTATATGGGGGATGAATTACTATATGGGGGATGAATTACTATGGGGGGGAGTAATTACTATGGGGGGATG